ACAAGGACAGCTGTCTAGTCCTGAGACGAAAAACCGAGGTCCCGTGTATACATTAGAATGCACGTAAAAGATCCCTTGGCAGTTGGAATTCGATATAAGAGTAGGCGATAGTGCCGCTGCCCGGGCAAAATTTCCCTCATAGCACACTGTATGGCGTATGCCCGTCTTCATAAGCCCAGTTTAGGAGCAGAACAGTAGGACTTTAAACCCCATTTCATTTCATTTCATTTATACACAGTATTGCATTAGTTTTGTTATGTAACAATCCTATATTATTAATATTAATATTATTAATAATAATATAGGTACGTATATTGACAATCCAATTTCCCCAGTCTCAATGATTTAGAGACTTACGGAAAGCGGCAATCAATCATCGGTCTACACATCTTGTATTTGAAATTTGGAGATAACCAGAAGTTTACAGTTAAGGTGCCGGTATTCAAATCGTTAGTTCTCCTTTTAAATAACATTCTTGTTGTTACAGCATTTCTGTAATATGGGTCAACTGTCAGTTTACATGCCATATATCTGTAATCAGCTATAGTCAAAGACAGTTAGTATAATGCATCGTCTCGTTTTCTGTCCATAATCAACCTTGATCCGCCTTATACACATAAGTTACTATTAATAGATGCTATGGAGAATAACTCCCGACAGACATCAATGATGTGAATGCAAATTCAAGGCAACAGCGTTTAGTAATAGCGTTTACTGTATGGGATGCCAAGTCTTTTGGGCTTTCGGCAAATTTGTATTCCAGAGTTAAAACAATCATTCGGCGAGGTTAATTCATAATAAAAACACGAATGATTTTGTAAAAAAAATTCTATCCGTTATCGTGTAAATGGAGTAATTTCCCTTGTATATAATATTGCACCATCACGCGTGATTATAATAAATATAAGTTATGAACGTGTAGACATCGGGTGAGCCGTGGTTCTGTGGATTAAGTTACATACATACTTTCCTTTGAGACTAAAGCAATTGGATCTATCCTCTAGTAGAAGAAGTCAAATTCGACTGCTGGGGGATACCACAGAACTAACTCGATACTCACTCTTTTGTCATTTACTTAAACCTCTATATCCATTTCTTCTTTTGTAGAACTAATTTTAAATTCCAATAGTTTTTAAAAGTTAACATTTGTCCTACACCTTTTCTTTTTCCCCCATTGATTATAAATGATAACGCGTGTTTTGTCCAGTTTTAGCATGTTTATTGACAGTGTAGTTTGTATTATACATAGGTATATAGTCAAGGTATACGAATATTGACACGGTATACATATATTGTTGCATATTGACAATCGTTCAATTTCCCTGATAGATTTGGTAATCAATCCTATTTCCTCTATCTCAAAGATTTAGAGATAAAAAGAAACCAATACCGATAGTGGAACCCAGCATTCCACAGAACTAACTCGATACTCACTCTTTTGCCTCCCCCTTGATATACTATTCAAAAAAAGTAGGGGATATTTGATTTTTAAGTGTTATTAAAGTCACCTAATGAAACTGACGAAGAAACAAATGACAAAATGAAATGAAGTTCACATTCATCGATTTATTCCAAATGATCGTTAGACTAAGTAAGACACAGACTGACCATTATAAGGGTAAAATGATACCCGGGGTCAAACAGCAAAGTTACCACAGCATCACAACCAAGTCAGTAACGGGTAAATCCTCCTCTGTTTGCCAAACAAGCATTGATCCGACGTGGCATACTCCTAATGAGACGTCTAAGGTCATTTTGGTCCAGATTGTCCCATTCCTGTTGCAACGCAGCAGCAAGTTCTTGGACATTGGCAGGACGTTGTTGACGTTGACGTAACCTCTGTCCAAGCATGTCCCAGACATGCTCGATGGGGGAGAGGTCGGGACTCAGAGCTGGCCAAGGTAATGTGGTGATGTTCTGTTGTTGGAGGTAACCTGTAACGATCCTGGCCCTGTGACATCTTGCATTGTCATCCTGGAAGATGAAACGGCGGCCATGACGTCGTGCGAACGGCACAACATGGACTGCCAAGATGTTGTCCCGGTAGTACTGGCCTGTAACACGCCCTGCAACAACATGTAAAGCCGTTCTTCCAGCAACAGTGATGCCTCCCCACACCATAACAGAACCACCCCCAAATCGATCATGTCTGATGACGTTAACGTCTTGGAAGCGCTCGTTTCGACGACGCCACACCCTCCTACGTCTGTCCAAAAAATCAACAGTGAACCTTGACTCATCTGAAAACATCACATTGCTCCAGCGTCGATTATCCCAGTGTTGACGATCCCTACACCAACGACGTCTTGCCTGAATGTGATGATCTCTCAAACAAGGGATCACGCGAGGACGTTGGGCGCGAAGGTGACCCCTATGCAGTCGATTCCGAATCGTCTGGCCACTCACTCTCACACCAGTGTCTGTTTGAAGACGAGCGCTGTTCTGATTTGCTGAGATGACACGATTTCTCAAGGCCAAGGTACGGATAAATCGATCCTGGGCTTGAGTTGTCGCCCTTGGTCGACCTGAGCGTGGTCTGTCCTGTACAGATTGTGTATCACGGTATCTGGACCATAGCCTGCTTATGACAGACTGAGAAACATTCATCGTCCGCGCCACAACCGCCTGTGTTGTGCCGATCTGTAGCATGCCAAGGGCACGTAACCTTTCATTTTGGGTAAGCCGACGCATATCAAAACTTGTTTTCTGGTCACTAAACAATTAAACTGATGTTTCCACCCTGGAATTCAATGCCACAATGACTGTAACATTCAAAGTCAGAGTCGTGCAAATCTTGGGTTGGACCCCCACGATGATCCCAAGCATCACCTGCATTCCATGCGGTAGCTATTGGTGCGTTTGGGCGTCACATGTAACTGGAAATGTTTCTTCTATTAGGTTCTATAGTGACTTTTTTCGTAGTCATTTGCATATTTTAGTATTATGCCCCCAAAATCAAATATCCCCTACTTTTTTTGAATAGTATATTTTTTACTGTTTTGATAACAATTTAGTTTAGATTTCATACATTTATAAAGATTCAAATTTGTACACAGTGAAGAAGGGTAGTGTTTTGTTAACAATACCCCATACAGCACAGGCGATTGGCTCACAGCCAATTAATACTGATCAAGAATTTCCTCTTTTTTGTACCGGACTTACCTAGGGTATATTATTTCAATATTTCACATCACTAATATTTTTTTTTTAAAAATTAATATTTAGAAATGATTATGAATGTTTCGGACAAGGGTCACTATGCCTGCTACGTCATGATTACTATCATTTGTATATGCACTGGTGCATGTAGTCGTGGGCACAGTAGAATATTAAACTTAATGATTTATTTCCAGGAAAACAAAAGACGTTCAGCTCCTTAAGTTCGCCGATTTTCCGCTTTATTCATAGCTGGATTCTGCCGATTTTTGCGATAGTCGTTTTGGAACTCATCAACTTTGGCGATAGTCTAATTGGAATTCATACAGCTTTGTTAGGAATGTTAAACTATCAGTTCTTCAAGACACATCTCTATGTTAACTCCATATAATACTGTTATTCTTCTAGACATATAATGTGAGCTTGTATTGTGGTAGGCCTAGTCCTAGTTCGGCTTTCTGGCCTTGATTTGGGACCTTGTAATGGGTCGACCATCTGGGTGTCACAGCTGACATGATATGGATATTTAAAGGAGCTAAATGGCTAACATTTGGGACCTAGAAATTGACACAAGTGGGTCGCAACTTATATAATACTGTAATATGAATGTATATAAACTGATATACATTCAATGGTTTCCGTTTTTACTCTAATTTCAAATCAGTTATGTTCCGCAAGATAAGCCAGCAGTCTCAATCGAATGCAAATTTCTAGCGCCTGGTTATTCCAGTCTGCATACGCCGTTTGGTTTGGTGCAATATGTCTAGCCTCGTTCCTCGAGTCTCTTGCTAGAACTGGGGCTAAAACGCATTATGGTACACGATTCGTGTACCAATGGTAAAATCTTTATTTTGTCTTAAATATTGGGTATCAGAAGCCCATCTTTTTCCGGTAAGATCACAGCATCAATGTTGATTTAAATTGACAAATAATTTGTGTTTTCAATGTTGAAGATTTTGGATGATATTGAGTTAGAGACTTAGCTACTTTAATTAATTCCGCTTTCATGTGTCAGTGGTGACGTGATAACGTTTCCATGATATCCCCTAACAGGGAGGTTTTGCGACATAAGAATATCGCCCGTCAGAAATGATTTGTTAAAGGTGAATTTATTTATACTTCAGGTTCTAGATTGTTGAAACAATCATTTCAATAGTAGTTAAGGGTTTGGGTTACTGTTTTGCAGAAAAGCCCCAAGAAAACAAAGAAACAAGAGTCACTTTATTTATTTGTGAATGTTCTGCTATTGGAATAAAAACACTATTTAGCGCGGGAAGTGACAAGTAGGTGGTCGACAATTTGCCCAGTGATCTCTTCTCTCTTGTGCATATTGCTGGGTTACACAATGTGATGGTGGACAGCAATACCCGCTCATTTCACGATAACATTCATAACCTGAAATTTTAAATAAGTTCCAAATATGGAGAATTGTTAATAAAACCTGTTGAGGAGGACAATGCTCATGATCAATGAATACTACTTGCCATCTCTGAAATGATTGATGCTTGGTGTCGGTGTCATTAATTGTTAATGGCGAAATGATTTATACTTCGTGTTCTAAATTGCGGAGGCTACTTTTGGATTCTTTACCTGCACGTCAGCGTGTATACAGGACCACTGAAACGACTAGGAGCCTGTTCATTGCCAGACGACTAAACAACTGACACGTGGTAAACCGCACTAAAAAAATCCAGAGGAACTTCCTTATATTGAGCACGCACTTTGAATAAACAAAGCATGCGCGGCGGTCTGTGGAACAAATCGATGAGTTTGGGCGACTGATTTGCAAAATAATTTGTGCAATACCAAAGATACCAAGATAAACAAAAATAAGTCCAACGTAATTATTTGCATACACTTGATTTATTTGTGAATGTTCTGCTATTTGAATAAAAACACTATTTAGTGGGGAAAGTGACAAGTAGGTGGTCGACAATTTGCCCAGTGATCTCTTCTCTCTTGTGCATATTGCTGGGTTACACAATGTGATGGTGGACAGCAATACCCGCTCATTTCACGATAACATTCATAATCTGAAAGTTTAAACAAGTTCTAAATATGGTACCACAGTGGCTCTGCGAGTACGACACAGGTTCATTAACCAGGGGGTCGATTCCGGTTTTGATTGAGAACGTATCTGGGGATTTTTCGGCATGTTTTCCCCTGATGAGTGAACACGCCGGGGTTCCTGGAGTTCAACAAACCGAGGCCCCATACACAGAAAAGAAAACCCTTGAAAGTTGAAGTTCGAAGAACAGCCAAATTTAGATAAAGAGCTGGCAGTTCACGCTATAATAGTTCAAAAATAGATAATGAAAAGTGAATATGCAGAAAATTTCAGTCAAGTTATGGCCCTTTGAAGAACAGTGTAGTTTCGATTGTCATTTCTACCGTTGTTACGTTAACAAGCAAAGTCTCGATTATCCATTTCTTAATTAAATTATTAACTAACAGTCAGGTTTAAATTCGTAGAAAATCAAATGAGCTAGAGAGTTGATTATGTGCTTGGCATGTAAAAATATGTCTAATCAATGATTTATAAAACACTTGAGGCCAAACGAAAGATCTGCATTAGGCCGATTTAGCTCTTAGATAATGCGTCTTTAAGTTGGTTTATAAAAACTACCAGGCGTTTTCCACATTTCAATCACGATGTGCATAATACTGCTAACTATGAACAATACATTTGTTTAAAATAATAGTGAACTGACTGTACACTCTCGGATATCTGTTGAAAAATGTGCAGTTTTTAAATATAGTAAACAAATGAATATAAACAAATAGTGAAATTACATTGTCTGAATACTGAACGGGGTCTTATTGTCCGAATTTACGAATAACTAGATAACCGTGATACATACATGTATTTGCCATGTATAAAATCTAGTATCGGCCTGGTTATCCGGGTACCTAATAAAGAAGAAAGTTGGTTATCTTGGTGCAACCATACAACTATGAAATATTAGTAGTAAGGATTTCTTACCTGTAGGACATCCCGATAAACCTTCACAAACTTCATTAGGTCCCGGTCCAGCACCACAAGTACCTTCACCTCTAAACATTTTTTCATAGCCTGAAATATCGTATAATACAGACACAATATTCCAGACTAAAGTGCAAATATTGGCTTTTACTATAAAATAATAATCTTATTATTTGTCCAAATAAAATTAAAAATCGACCAATGTTTCTATCCATTGACATCGAGGCCACGTAATATATTAATATCCAGGAAATACAACAATAAATCAAAGATTTACACTTGTAATAAACTGGTTGTTCCATGGATTAACCCATATCCATCAGACAATGCACTGATACTACCACATCGATGGATTAACCCCTATTCATTAGACAATGGATTAACTCATATCCATTAGACGATGCACTGATAGTATCGCATCGATGGATTAGCCACTATTCATTAGCCAATGCACTATCATTTCGATGGATTAGCTGATATCCATTAGACAATGCACTGATACTACCATATCGATGGACTAACCCCTTTCCAATAAAATTCTAATAACAATCTGACTTCGTTATGCTATTCTGATTAAATGTCCGAACATTTTGATTTTTCAACTCACCAAAAGCGGTTTTCCTTAAATAGATAATTCTACCATTGACATCTCGGCAACTTGAGCCCGCGGGACAATCATGAGACGAAGAGCATGACTGGCTAAGAGGAGAGGCTGTGGAGATTATCAGTGGAGATTCTACCAATAATCGTTTCTCCAGGTATTGCAGTTTCTGGGGCTTTCCCTGAAAAGTTCAATTGGCAAAAATATATATATTTCCAAACTTTATCACCAATATTAAGTTTTCTCAAAAAATTCCCTGTCTTTAATCGTTGAGCTTCCTTCGCCCATTGACTCCACGTTAGTTCATCTATCTTGATTTACAGATCTAATAAAATTTATTTTATTTCATTCCGGTTGTAATTATATTATGCCTGCACTTTACACGAAGCTCCAACTATTTCCTTATCAATAATTTGTATTCATTGATTAATATTGGTAATTTACAAAAAAAGGCCCAAAAAAACTTACCTGGACGCTGACGTAAATCCACACCTGCAATGTAGATACATTTGATCTATATACAATTTTTTGTGGTTGTCAGATTATATAATCAATGTATTGTTAATGGGCAATGAGAAAGAGAGAGAGAGAGATTGGGTTTAACGTCCACTCGACACAAACTAGGTCATTTCGGGACTAACATATGGTTTAATTTTATTTCAATAATTCGCTTGCGCGTAGGGGTCTTTAGCAGTGGGAGGAAACCGGAGGACCTGGAGAAAACCCATGAGGTTGGACAGGCGACCCTACTCCTTGCCACGTACAACCGGGGATTATGGGCAAATAGATCTGATACCAATACAAACTTGAAAGGTAAGATTTTGATATAGACTTGGTCGTTCTTACTGTACTAGTTCCAAACAGATAATAAAAAATAAACATATTGAAAATTTCAGCAAAATTAATCTATTCTCAGCGAAGTTATGAGTATTTGCAGTTTTGAGTAATTTATCTCGATTGTCAAATATCATTACTACGCCAATAAGCAATGTTTCGATTATCCATTTCAAAATATTAGATGACGCGAATGTATTAATCCATGGACTATCTAAACCATCCGATGACCTAGAAGGTTGATTATATACTTGTTGATTATATCATTACTACGCCAATAAGCAATGTTTCGATTATCCATTTCAAAATATTAAATGGCGCGGATGTATTAATCCATGGACTATCTAAACCATCCGATGACCCAGAGGGTTGATTATATGCTTGTCATGTGAATAAATGTCTAAATAATAATTTGAAGCTGCAAAAATACCTGCAATATGTAGATTTAGCTCTTGAACAATGCATTACCGATTTATAGAAACGTATAGATATAAGTATTGTTGAAATTTCTATTACAGTCCAGTGTAAATTACAATGTTAAACTCTTACTATAATAAAGTTGTACGCCAAAAGAATTCATAGTTTGTACGGAAGGAAAAATCGCATCTTGATTGGCCCTAATAATAGTTGATCGCAACTAGAATCATTCTCCATGCAGCTCGGAAATATTATACTCTCAAGCTCTTACGTTTTACTTCACAGTAATTTTGTCTTTTATTCCACAAATTGATTCTTTATGTTAGAAATTTTATTTTCATTTTCGTAACACCAGAAACTAACTAAATCAGGATCCAGTTTCATCCCTATCCCAATTTTAATTTTTTTCCCCGTCTCGACTACTGCAGCAGCTCTCTTTTAGATCTTCCGCAATATCAACTTGAGCGCCTACAGAAACCTACTACCCGAATATATTTTAAACCCATTACTCTAACTTTTAAATGTGTAAATGGCACCGCTTCTAAATATCTTTATGGACTTACATTCTATCAAAATATCTGCGATCGAAATCTCTTAATCAATTGATCATACTTTAGAGGTGTAATTTCTCTCTTCGGATATAACAGACTTCGAATGATTCTTCAATTCTTTAATATACCGGAACATAAATATACATATATCGTCATACAGTACTGACAGGCCAGTTACTGCACTTAGTAAGGGATCCTAACTAGTGACTGCCTTCAATGTACAAATTTTGTAATATTTAAGGAAAATCAGATAAAAAGATCAAAGTAAATGTTGTAATTAAAACTGACACATCGATAGATGAACAATGCATAAAGGATTAAACAATATAATAAATCAACAAAAACAATAGATGGGATTAACGTTGTTACCCAATGACGGCTTGAAAAGTGGTGACAGGTTAACGACTTACTAGGAAGTTGACCTTAAACTGGTTAATTTAAGAAGCATTAATTATATTAGCGATAGCAGATTATCACACCATTATAATACCAACTTTTGGTTATCGTTCGTTTAGAGTTGCTACTGCTAGAAGGTGGAACTCGTTACCTATTGACCTACGTCAATTATAATGCACCTCATTATCGTCATTCAAGAAATAAAGATTCTTTAGATGTGTTTGTCAAGCGGTTCGACTCGAAGCCTTCGAGCACAATTTGTGAGACTATATATTTTTTTTACTTACCGTGAAAATTAAAACTTTCATCAGCATTATGGTTAATCTGAACGCTAGAAGCACTATGAGGAAAATAAACAATGTGTGTATCCTGTTCTATATATAGTGATTTCTTATCCGTGAACATACCACAGTACGCACAGGATATGTCATAGAAAATAAAGGTAGGGCATTGATAAAATACTGTGACAGTTCGTCACAAAAGCAAAGAAAATGAAACGAATTGTTTAACCCAGATCCGTGATGCGTTATCGTAGTCTCTGTGTGTCTGAATTTGAGTTGATTGTGGACGACTGTGGCGACGGCAATGTACGACGACTTTCCCTTGTAAACAGTACCATTGAAGGCTAGATATTTAGGCCAAACCATATAGGTGGAGACTTTTTATCGAGGATAGGGCACCCTCAGTGTTAGGGTTAGGGTTCGTGGGGGGGGGGCGAAGTGGGCAAGACGCTGGCTCGCTAGCCTGGAGGTCGGGTGTTCGATCCCTGCATTGGCCGAGAAAGTTCATCCAGATTTTCCGGCGTGCCCCCCCCCCCCGTCAGTGATGCAGGACAAAGGGCCTGACAAGGATAGCTGTTTAGTCTTTCGGGTGGTACGAAAATCCGAGGTCCCGCGTACACATTGGCGTGCACGAAAAAGATCCCTGTCCGAGCCCGCTGTCCGGGCAAAATTTCCCTCATAGCACACTGTATGGCGTGTGCCCATCTTCATTAGCCCAGTTCGTAGCAGAACAGTAGGACGTTAAACCCCGTTTCATTTCATTTCATTTCGTTAGGGTTCGGTGCTTCGTTAACCCTTCATATATCCAGGAGCCAGAGTTACTTTCCCTGGTAGAGTAGTTAACACAAAAACTGTTCTCGGTAAATAGTCTCTACCCCCAGTCCCTCAACCCAACAGGCTTTGTGTTCACTTTTCGTGGAATAAGTAATCCAAGAATTGCGTAAGCTGGTGTCGTTTGAAACTTATTTATCTGCGATTTCCAGTAATTCTAAAGGTTCATATAAGTAATGGCATAAGTAAACGATACCCCCCCCCCCTTACCAATAACACGTTCTGGAAATATATTTATAAGAAAAAAACTACAGTCAAATCCATACAGATTGTTTATTTGTGAAATTTCTGCAATACATATTATTATTATTATTATTACAGCATATTTATAGTGCGCCCTTTCATATAACATATTCAAGGGCACTTTACAAAGTGACAATGTAATCATAAATAAATAAGAAGATTATACGATTGTATACAGAGTCAGTTAAAAGCCTGATTAAATATAACGCCATTATTTAGCTGGAAAGAAACAATTTGGTGGTTGACAATTTGCCCAGTAATCTCTTCTCTCTTGTGCATATTGCTGGGTTACACAATGTGATGGTGGACAACACGCCCCGCTCATTTCACGATAACATTCATAACCTGAAAGTTTAAACAAGTTCTAAATATAGAGAATTCTTAATAAAACCTCTGGATGAGGACAATGCTGCCCTGTGATCTCTTCCCTCTTGATGGCTGACAACAAGCCCGCTCATTTCACGATAACATTCATAACCAGAAAGTTGATAAACAACTTCTGAATATGTGAAATGTGTAGCGAATCAAACATATTTCTTAAATAATCAAATGTACATTTCATTAAATTATTTTGATGGCATACTTTTCTTGCCAGGTACAGATAGGTAGTGGCGGACTTGCTTATTTTGGTATGGATTTGGTTATCTCACTCATCCGTGAAAATTTGAATCATACAAATCCAGTCATACAAATGCACTTCCTCCATGGTGCCGAACAATTTCCTTTCAACAAATCTGAATAAGCACCAACTACGCAGCAAATCAAATGTGACGGACATTCATCAAGTTTTTGAGGTGTCCCTTTAGGGCTGATCAATGTCATTTGAACAAATATGTACCACCAAAGCAAAATATCTACAAAATTATGCATAAGTACCAACCACACAACATAAATGTCAGATATAACGGACATTCACGAGGGCTGATCTACGTCATTTGAACAAATCTGTACACCAAGCAGTATATGTACAAAATTCGGTTGAAATTGGTCACATGGTTTAGAAGTAAAAAAAACATATAAACACTTGTCCCATTAAGGTGCACCTCAAATTAATTTGAGCAAATCTGAAAAAGCACTACCCAAGCAACACATCCTCTAAATTTTGTTGAATTCTGTCAAATCTTTCAGAAGAATTCGGGAATATAAACGGAACTTTACCTGCTGGGCATTCCGATGATCTAACACAAACTTCATTAGGCTGAGCTCCTGCACCACAAGTACCTTGATTGTTACCACCAAGAAACTCTATAGGACCTACAAAATCAAAATGATTCCATTTTCATTACATGCTACCTAAAAATGTGATATGGGATCACACGATATCGTTCCCATCAATATACTAATTCCATTGGGTTTTGAGATCTACCGAAGCGACCTTCCTGTGTGTAAAGGATCTGACCATGGGATTACACGATATCGTTCCCATCACTATACTAATTCCATTGGGTTTTGAGACTTACCGAATGGACCTTCCTGTGTGTAAAGAATCTGACCATTGGCGTTTCTACAACTTGAGCCTATGGGACAATCACGTGAAGATGAACACGAAATCGCTGGACTTCTGTAAATTTTTCTTCGTAGTTGATATGCCTGCAAAATGTAAAAAATAGAAACGGTGATTTCCTTAACCGACAGCCCTATTGACCGAGATGTCCTTGAAATCGATACAATACTGCACCAATTCTTCCCTGAAAGCAAGTCCTTATCTGTATTTTCCATCTTCAGTGCCATTATTTTAAAAACAATCGCAATAGCCTGCTTGACATGAGGCAATAACACTCTCACTAAAATAATTGTAATTAATTGTGAATAATAACCCTTTCAAATAAACCGTTGCCTGTAGGACCAGATGAATTGAAACCCAGTAAAGGGTTGTACGACCAGATCAATTGAAACCCAGTTAACGTTTGCAGGACCAGAAAAATTGAAACCCAGTAAAAATTAGTAGGACCAGCTTAATTTAAATTGAAACCCAGTAAACATTGGCGGGACAATCTTAATTGAAACACATTCAGTAAACGTTGCACATATTCTGGGGGTTGTCATCTTACTTTTCTGTCCCATGTACACCCGGCTGTGAAGTATGAGTAAACCAGGTCACAAACTGTAAATTTACGCACAGGGTTAGTTAATTCTTACGTTGATTAAAATGTCGGGATATGAGAGTTCGTGGTCATTTTGGATTCTTTCTAGGTTTGTTTTCACGGTCTTATTTTTTGGAAGGCAAAAACAAATCTTCCGTCCAAAGTAAAATCAACACGAAACACACAATTCTAATTTTCTTATCCTCTAAGATTTACGTTTACATGTGCAATACCAGTGGATCAAATAGGCCATGTCCAATGTTCACACGATGACAATTGCCATAGCTCATATTCTAATTAAGATAAACAATGTCTGATTTAAAAACAAAAACCTCTTACCTCGGCGGCCAAACAAATACACGCCTGCAATTAGAAGGAAATAAAAAGAAAATATAGACTTTAAATTTGATTACTCTAAATGATGCATGGATCCATAGTTTATTCTGATTATGGAATGCCTTCTTACTCTGTACACTACACAATGCATATTACATATAATATACATATACCTTACTTAAGCCGTGCGTGCCAAATGCAAAATCTGTTTTTCGGGATGACATAGATTTTGTTAATTAATACCCCAAAATCTTTTGGCTTGATTTCCCCAGACCTATCCTTTAGACCGTAGAATGTTGACTGGACAAACATCCTGAATGCAGTCATCTTCGAAACCATAAGAATCATCCTAACAACCCTTTTATATTTGGTGAAACCAATTACAAACAAATTCTTGGTATAGCGGCACCACAATTAAAGATACATTATGGGAGATATTTATAGAGAGTTGGCCATTCTTGCTATAACAGTTCAAAAGTAGATGATGAAAGAAGAAAATATTGAAAAATTCAGTCAAATTACTTTATTCTGAACATAGTTATCATCGTTGTAATATTTGCCTAGAAATGGTAGCGAAATATGTCTTCACCTACACTGAACGTTTGATTGACAGGCGTTAACTCCACCTACATATCTCGATTATCAAGTAAAGTTTTCAATGGCATACGGAAACGCTTTACAGCGGCCTCGCTAAGTACACTCTATAATTTAGCCTCGATCTAACTGACGTATTTTCATCAGGTTACCCCTTATCTGATTTAATCAATTAGTGTAATCCTATTTAAATCCGAGCTGTAGCCGAGCCATCCGTGGGTCTACAGAGTTGATTTTGGTCTTGTTGTTTAAATAAAGATCTAATTTATAATTTCTATAACATCTGAAGTCTAAATTAAGACTTGCAATCATCAGATTTAGCTCTTGCATAATGCGTGTTTAAGTAATTTAAAAATGAGATTTCTAGAGGACAAATTATACTCAATTGTACAAATTAAATATGGCGTGGATTAGAAGATCAATTGAAACGATTCCTAGACGATTGTTTACTTTATTTGGAATGAATGAATTGGTGAAGTTATAGATTTGTAAATTACAATCTTGGACGTTCTAGTAAAACGAGGGGGAGAACTCTTTATTACAGATATGTATTCTGAAAAAAAGGGGGATATCTCACAAAAACTCGTATTATCCTAATGTGTGTCATGATTGACTGTGTGTTATGGTACTTTCCGGGTTGCGCTTCGCCTTTGAAAAATTCGCGCCGTGCGTCACTTTAAGCTAGAGAGAAAAAACAGCGACGTTGATTTTTTAATACGACGTCGCTTTTTTAAAAATAGACGCATCGCCCTTTTCGTAGCACGTCGCTTTTTATATTTCTATTTATAGATTGGCTTCTCTTAGGAAGACTTCATTATTTTACAGTTTACAACTGGGTTCTTAATTTAGCTATACATCCAATATTATTCACCATTTCAGCAAATGAAATATACAATGCACATGCCTTTCTTTGTGTCCAGTTATTACTGCTGTGAGGAAAAGGTACTAAACGGCAAATTAATTCTACTGCTACATGCGCATTTCATCCCCAAAACTATAAACTATACCCGTTTAGAAAAGGCGATGCGCGGCGCGGCGCGACGCGAAGGGCGACGTCGTGCTTTTTAAAGGCAGGTAGTGGCTGGAATAGAACACCATAGCGTGTTACAAGAAATCTCAACATCATTATGAATCACAATTAGGTCATCAATCTATTCAGGTGATATTGTAAATAAAATGTAGTAATGCTTTATAAACTAGATTATACATTTAGCACGAACAGGAAACACATCCTGTTCAATATGTTAGCGTTTTATAATTGCTTTATTCTATACTAGTTTATTTTGTTATATAGTTCCTGTATAATGTTTTATTGCGCGGGGCATAGCATTTCTTTTCTTTTATAAATATCAAAAAATACACTTTGTTTTTCTTTTTAAGTCATATTTTATTCACTATCAATGAATGGGAGATTGGGGAACAGGCATATGCCTATGTCAGACCCCTATCCCTATTTACAATTCAAATGATATACTAATAATGAAAAGCAGTAGATACACTATATACAGTATATACAACCCGTACTTAGCTGAATACACCTAAAGTATTATATTATGTAATAATAATTTAAAATCGTTAAGTTGAATTGACATATGATAGAACTGTTGTAAAGATAGGGTTATTAATTTCGCTGTTGGCGTCATGTGGGTCGTAGATTAGAAGATTGCTATTCTTATACTCATCAGGTAACGTAGAAATTGTTTTTCGTCGAAAAGTATTGAAGTTTGGACAGTGTAAAAGATAGTGTTCGCCATCCTCGAATTGGTGACCACAATTGCAAGCTGGATTTTCAGAGATATGTCTAAAAATGGTGACCATTTAAGTCACTGCATGAAAGTCGTAGTTTGCTGTGGATAATTTCAATTTTTCTAGAACCAATGTAGAATGTTTTGGGGGTTTGGAATCTTGTTCGGAGAGCTTTTGTTTAAAAGAGAGACTTGTTGAACGTTTGCCGTCTTCATTAGCCCAGTATAGGAGCAGAACAGTAGGACGTTAAACCCCATTTCATTTCATTTCATTTGTTGACTGGTCTAACCGGTTCCATTCCTTTATTGCGGATGGTACAAATGAGTTGGAAAATAATTTCGTTCTACACCGATATTTCTAAAATTGTACGAAGTTTATGTCTTCGTCGACGTTCCTTTAGATGAATGAAACCGGTCGCCTTGTAAAGAGAATCATGGCCCGTACCGTTAGTAGTTCCGAACCTCAATCCCAAACGATAACCGCGTAATCGAAGTGAAGCAGAAGGTAAGCGTTATAGATAATCAGTAAGGGTCTACGTCTGAAGCGATATTTCAGACCTCAAGCAGTGTGCTAGTTTTGATACTTTTTTTACATAAATTTCCTATGTGGAAATCCGACTTGCCGTTATTTTGATAAGGGAGGCCTAAATGTAGTGGAAAGAGACTTCATTTAATTTCACAGAATTAAAAATTAGTGGGGGCTTAGTAATTTTCGTTCTATTGCTGATAGTCAGAGTTTCAGTTATTGGCGCTTGCAATCGGGTCATCGATTTTGAGGAAGAACGAGGTATAATTGGCAAATAATCTGACATTAGATTTAATATGCTCAACAATATCGTTGATGTAAATGAGGAAAAGTAAAGGAGAGAGAACCGATTCTTGGGGGACACCAGCAAGCTTGGGGTCGGAACCACGCCACTTGATTCAGTGACGGACCTGATGATCTAAAGCGCGTATACCTGAAGGTATACTTGAATGCGGTGGTTAGGCCAAACCAATTTAATTTTTAGTTCTTCGGGGTCTTGAAATTGAACCATGTGTTGGTCCCGAAATGATATAGTTTGTGTCGAGTGGACGTTAACCCCCCTCTCTCTCTTTCTCTTTCTCTAATCAATAAATAACTGACTCATTTTTTTTGTATGTGATGGTTTGTTAAAGTTTGAAAATTTAAATATTTAAAACTAAAAACTTTTGCGAGGAGCAAGTAAGCACCTTTTGTTTTCAGATTAGATTTTTTTTCCCTGAAAAACAGAAATTCAAATTGATATGACCTTAGATCGTGCTTAAAGACATTTTGTTTAAGAAATAACAAGTCTTATCTGTACCGAAAATGGACGTCAGGTTTTAATCTTCGCACCGGTACATATATATTTTGAACATTTCTTTGACATTATACAATCGTTTTGCGCTGTTGATTTTAACCGCCGATCCATGAACCGGAGTCCGTGCGCAAAAAAAAATCCTTTGAGTCCACGAAAAAGCCACACGTCTCTGAATTCGGTGTATTCTGGCCCTCGGAAGAGATCACATTGCATTAACGAGAGAGCTTATGCATGAAATGTAGTACATCATGTTTATTTTGTGTTCAACATACATTTTTATTTACTGTGAGACTATAATTCTTACTTACCGTGAAAATTAAAACTTTCAGCAGCATTATGGTTAATCTGAACGCTATAAGCACTATGAGGAAAATAAACAATGTGTGTATCCTGTTGTGTTACTACACTACGTCAGAATATGTCATAGAATATAAGGGTGGGCCGTTTATATAGATGTCATGGATTACCTGCGAAATACGTTAATGGTGGACACTGACGTTAAATAAATGTATTTATGTAAATAGGAAATTAGGTCACAGATAAAGTAGTGTCAGATTGTCAATTACTACAGGCAACAAAAACGTGTTATTTAGTAATTCTGAACTGTGAAACCCCTCTCAGAGAGTGGAACAGACAGGTGCGCATTATTATAGTATGTGCTGACAAAACATAATACATAAACGTGAATGTTAATATAAATTTATAGATGCGTTGTTGTAATCAATGATTTCATACGGTATTAAACCCAGATATATAACTGACAGCTCAAATGATCTTTTTTTTCTATTAAAGTAACGATGCGTCATTTACATTTACGGTAAAATATCAAATTTATCAAGACTTATCCACGCTTATATTCTGTAACATCTAATTAAGAACATAAACGCTGCAGAAAATTTGCCGACTTGGATTCAATAGGATTTAAAATAGACCCATTAATAAATATTCGCAGACACCAAATTGGTGTAGGGCTTATTACATAGCGAGAAGCATAGATTGATGAGGTTTAAATTTAGCATATTTTTGTAACACTGAACGGAATTGAACCATTTTTGGACTGATATTCCTATTATAGATTTATCTATCACAATATTGTAGTTTCTAAGGGATTTCTATTACCCTAAAATGACGAAGGAATCTTTAACAGAAAGTTAATGCCAAGATTTATTAATATGTTTTTAACTTGCCTTGTCCTTTTTATCAAATGGTGCAGCTGGTGGGCTGGATACGACGTTATCGTGTAAATATAAATTAGCAAAGGTGAAAAAATACATGTTAAAATTAAAAAAAATCTAATTGTTCTTTAACAATAATTAAATTTATTCTCACTTTCTATAAATTAAAATAGAAAAAAGGATTGAGGGTAGTAGATCGCAAAAGAGTGAGTATCGAGTTAATTCTGAGTGAGTATCGAGTTAATTCTGAGGTATCCCCCAGCAGCTGAATTTGATTCTTCTACTAGAGGATAGATCCAATTGCTTTAGTCTCAAAGGACAGTGTGTATGTAACTTAATCCACAGAAAAAAAAAGGATTGAGGGTAGTAGATCGTAAAAGAGTGAGTATCGAGTTAGTTCTGCGGTATCCCCCAGCAGTCGATTTTGACTTCTTCTACTAGAGGATAGATCCAATTGCTTTAGTCTCAAAGTAAAGTATGTAACTTAATCCACAGAACCACGGCTCACCCGATTTCTAAATGTTCATATCTTATATGTAGTAGTTATTAGCACACTTTCCGAGGTGTATCGGTGAATATCAGGACAGTTTTGGTCGAGGGGCCCAGCCGAGGCGGAGCCGAGGCGGCTCTCGACCAAAACTGTCCTGATATTCACCGATACACCGAGGAAAGGTGCTAATAAGTTACTTACATCACATTTCTATCGAGTATTGTGAAGCAAAATGTGAAAAATAGTATTTATTATCGAGTCGTTTCAACCGAAAAGTGACAAATACTTTCTGTTCTTTCATTATTTATCCCTTTCTGAACCTCACGTTACATTTCATGGTAGAATGATTTCGCAGTGGAGAGACGACCTGAGTAGTATTTACACGTGCGTCTTGCTATGATACTCTGAGCGTAAAACAATCACGTGTTTGTTTAGACCACATCGTCAAAACAATGTCTATGGCGTAGAGGACTGCGATATTATTAAATGTAGTGTGAAGGAAATGCGAAACGTGGGTCATTCCTGGTGAAAGTATGCATCGGCGAATGGTTCTTCCGTTGAAATTTATTTGTAATAAAGTTTATGACTTTCTAGGCGTTTTTTTTTTCATCCTGCTTATTTTCAATGCCTGTGAAGTGTCCAGCAAGAGAACTGCGCCTTCTATCATCACAATTAATTAAAATAATTATTCAATATTCTAATTTATATATTTTGCATATTAATATAAATCAAACCAAATTATGAAATAGATGCCAATTGGTATGTATAATAATTGATTTTTGTAATATGTTGTTATGTTAATTTAATGTCATTGTATATGTTTTTGAACTGCCATGTAGTTCCCCCCATTTTGTTTTGTTACTATGATTTTGACTAGTTGTTTCATGTACATGGATACTCTTAAGCTTGTATTGCAATTCTACTTCATCATTGTTCTGGACTACAAAACCATGTGAGATGCGCATGCGTCATCGCCAGTCAATTAGCTCGTGCGTTTGCCGAAGTCAGGAAGTCTGTGACTCACAGTTCTTTCATTTTTACCGATTTATTACTTTAATAAAGGTTTTTAGTATTAGCAGACTCTGCATAATACTTGTTAGTACCCAGAGACTCTCTTGGTACTTTAATTTTGTAATTTATCGGCTCGTGTTTGACTGTTGTACAGTTTCGTTTTTGACTAGTTTTAAGTGTGGTTATTTTTTAATATGGCGTCGAAGTCGATAGAGATTACGACAACTGTCGGTAGTACTGCTACTAGTAGTACTATTACGGCATCACAGTCTAGTCTTCAAAACATTATAGGAAAACCTGTACTGGTAACTCCTGATCTCAAGACTGATACCATTTTAGTATCCGTTAAGGACACAATGGCAATTATGTCTCAATCATTGGAAAAATTGAGTGAGGCTATGGGTAAGATGGCGGAAGGAAGAAGTTCGAGATCTCGGTCACGGTCCAGTTTTAGGATCCCGAAAAGGAGGTCATTTTCTATATCACCCAATAAAAAGAGGAGGTCAATTTTGTCGCCATCTATTTCCCCTAAAAGGCGAAGAGTATCACACTCTATCAGTAATAGTGATTCAGACAGTCAGTCCTCTGGTTCATTTACGTGTAGTAAGGATGCACGTTTCAAGCAAGACAGATCTAGGCATAGGCCTATTGGTGGGCCTTCCCAGACTGATGTCACTGATGACATAGAAGATTTACTTCATACATCTAAACAAACCAAACCTTTAGATACAGGTGCTAGCACCAGCAATGATAATGTCTTACAAGACATAAATCAGTCCTTTGAAGAACCAGAACAAACTGGGCCAGAGGTAACAGACAAACTTGCAGAGATAATTAACAAAAGGTTTCAAAATAGACTAACAGATGATATTCTGAAAAAGACTTTTTCCAAATATCTCAGACCAAGGAATTGTTCTGGTCTCAGTATTCCAAATGTCAATAACGAAATTTGGAAACAGTTATCAAATAACATTAAAAGGCAAGACCTTAGATTAAGTTATATACAGAAAGCTATTTCTAAAGCTGCCTCTGCAATTACAGTATGTGCAGATGAAATACTTGATGACAAGATTAATGATAAGTCAGTTGTGGCTAGGAAACTAATTGACTCAGTTGCTTTATTGGGCCATGCTTCATACGACCTTTCTCTTAAAAGGCGCGAATTAATAAAACCCGGTCTCAGTCCTGAATTTGGAGGTCTTTGTTCGACCAATGTACCTGTTACTCCTGAATATCTTTTTAGTGACGATTTACACTTGAAAGATATCAGGGAAACCTGCCGTTTAAGTTCCAGAGTTTCATCATCATACACACCAAGAAGAGATGATCGACCCTCATCCTCTTTTCGACCCTCATCATCATATCGTCCATACACGAATACATCTACCAGTCATTTTTTAGACAAAAAGGGGAGGGGAAACTACCCCAGACAGAACTACCCCAGACAGAGGTCAACAGGAAAATCCAATCAACAGACAAAACAGAAGATTTACAAAAATCGAGCAAAACAATAATTGCTACTTGTACAGAAACCACAAATGCTCAAGAGGTGAACTCTTTTAAAAATTATTGTGCTGAATTAAAACTAATATTAGTTAGTAAAGCATTACAGTTTAAAGCTGGTTGTTTAACGAACTATTTAGACAACTGGAAATCATTGACGTCTGATTATGAAATTCTAGAATTAGTTAAGGGTGCAAAAATAACTTTCACAGAAAGGCCAGAGAAAAATCAGCATTACTTAAATCACTTTAATGAAACAGAAACTATAGCAATTGATCTTGAAATTGAAAAGCTTCTATCTAAAGAAGTGCTAATAAAAACTAGTAAACACAAGAATGATATACTATCTCCTATTTTTGTCAGAGAAAAGAAAGATTTATCTTTTCGCATGATATTAAATTTAAAGAAACTTAATTCTATTATTGAATACAACCATTTTAAAATGGATACTCTTGCTTCAGTTTTAAGTCTTGTAGAGCAAAATTGTTTTATGGCATCAATTGATCTTAAAGATGCTTACTATACTGTTAATGTTGATCAAAATTATAGGAAATATTTAAAATTTTGCTGGAAAGGTCAATGTTATTGTTACACATGCTTTCCTAATGGTCTTTGTATTTGCCCAAGGAAGTTCACAAAGTTATTGAAGCCTCCTTTAGCTAGTTTGAGAAAAAGGGGACATATTTCATCTGCTTATATAGATGATATATTTTTAATGGGGTCAGATTTTTCTGATTGTGCTCAAAATGTTAAAGATACCACTGAATTATTTGATAGTTTGGGATTTACTGTACATCCAGATAAATCTGTATTTTTTCCCTCAAATTCTATTACTTTTTTGGTTTTTTTAATTAACTCTGTTAATATGACTGTACGATTGACACCTGCAAAGAAACTTAAATTGAAACAGGCTTGTGAACAGTTGCTTGATCAAACATTTATGACTATAAGATCTGTTGCTAGGGTTTTAGGTTTAATGACATCTAGCATGCCAGGTGTCATGCATGGTCAATTATATTATAGACAATTAGAAACTGAAAAAACTCGTTGCTTAAAGATTAAATATGGAAATTTTGATGAACTTATGTCAATTTCCCAAAAGAGTGTTTCTGATATTCTATGGTGGATTCATAATATTGATGAATCTTATAATTTTATACAACTTTCTAACCCTTCACACATTATTTCAACTGATGCCTCCTCTATTATTGGATGGGGAGCTGTTATGAATGATCATTGTATTGAGGGGGGAATGGTCTTTAGAAGAAAAACTTGAGCACATTAATTACTTAGAAATATATGCTGTTTTTTCTGGCTTTGAAAAGCTTTAAATCTATGATTGTAAATAGTCATGTTAAATTATTGATAGACAATACTACTGCAGTTTTCTGCATTAACCATATGGGTACTAGTCATTCTGAGAAATGTAATCAGATTACCCGTGATATTTGGTTATGGGCTAAACAGCATAATATTTGGTTGTCTGCCTCTTACATACCAGGCGTCACTAATGTTCAGGCTGACTTTGAGTCAAGAAAATCTAGAACAGATCTAGAATGGATGTTAAATGTTAATATTTTTCTCGAATCTATGAATATTTTGAACTTTAAGCCAAATATAGATTTATTTGCCAGTAGGCTAAATTATCAGTTGAAACCTTATGTTTCTTATATGTGTGACCCAGACTGTTTTGCGGTGAATTCTTTTACAATATCATGGACACATTATGATTTTTATGCTTTTCCACCTTTTAGTGTCATTCCAAGATGTCTCCAAAAGGTATTGAAAGACAGGGCAACTGGTGTATTAGTGGCTCCATATTGGACAACTCAGCCGTGGTTTCCAAAGTTGATGAGGATGTTAATCTCAGATCCAATATTAATTTCTCCAAGACAGAATCTACTGTTATCAAAGACTTCTCCAAACCTTCATCATCCAATGCAAAAAGTTTTGAAACTAATGATATGCCATATATCAGGGATGAATGCCAAAATAAAGGATTATCAGTCTCAGCTTCAGATACCATCATGCAGTCGTGGAGAAGTGGAACTAAAAAACAATACAGGTGTTATTTATCAAAGTGGGAACAGTATTGCCATTCCACAGGGTCTAATCCGGTTCATTGTACTGTAGAACAGGGAATTAATTTTCTGGCAGAACTACATGACTCTAGATTAGGTTATAGCGCTATTAACACTGCACGTAGTGCTTTGTCTTCTGTGATTCAGTTAACTTGCAAGGGGGAAAGTTTTGGTAGCCATCCATTGGTTGTTAGATTTATTAAAGGAGTCTTTAATTTAAACCCTTCTTTACCTCGATATAATAAAATATGGGATGTAAATCTTGTATTATCACATTTTAGGAATCAACCACCAGCATCAGAACTTTCACTGAAAGATTTAACTCATAAATTGTCTTGTTTGCTTGCAATGCTTAGTGCACAAAGGTGTCAAACATTAAAATATCTCGATCTTGATCATATTGATATTAGTGAAAACAAAATTATTTTTCATATAATGATGCCATTGAAACAAACTCGACCTGGGCATCATATACAACCCTTAGAATTTGAGACATATAAAGAAAATCAAAATGTTTGTGTTGTAACGATTTTAAATGAATATATAGCAAGGACTAAAACACTAAGAGGAGCAACGTCTCAATTATTAATTAGTTATTTAAAGCCACATAAGGCTGTGTCTGTAAATACTATATCCAGATGGATAAAATTAGCATTGAAAGAGTCTGGAATTGATACCACCTTGTTTTCATCACATAGTGTTCGGTCAGCTGCAACTTCGAAAGCTAAACTTTCTAATTTGCCTATTTCATTAATAATGAAAGCAGCTGGCTGGAGCAGAGATTCTACTTTTTATAAGTTTTATTTTAAAGGGAAAGATACCCATTACAATGATAATAGTTTAAATTTTGGGAGTGAACTCATTAAGAACTTAAATTAACATGAAAAATGTGTTTTGTTTAGTTTATTTTAAGTTTATCTCAGGTTTATAAGTTTATCTAAAGTGTTGATAAACAGTGTTTGTTAAGTCTATCTAAAGTGCTGATAAACAGTGATAAAGTGTATTTGACTTGTTACAATTTATCATAGGTATTGATAAAAAGTGACTCAACAGTTCATATTGTTCATTATTTGCATTTTCTTATTTAATAATAATAAAGACATGTGAAGTTTATACATGTGTTTAAGTTGTGCTTTTATCTGAACTTGCGTAATACTTGTATTGCTCTCAAGTCTCACATGGTTTTGTAGTCCAGAACAATGATGAAGTAGAATTTACAAATTAAACGAGCTTACCTTTAGGGAAGTGAAGTTTGATTTTAATTCTACGAGTCATGTTCTGGAACGGAGAATTCATGTCCCTCCCTGGGAATAGTAATTTACTGGAACCCACCCTTTTTTTTTTTTTTTTTGGAATTCTCCGTTCTGATAATATAAGTATACTCTTTAAAGATTGACTGGCGATGACGCATGCGCATCTCACATGAATTCTCCGTTCCAGAACATGACTCGTAGAATTAAAATCAAACTTCACTTCCCTAAAGGTAAGCTCGTTTAATTTGTAAATTAAACAGGACAGTTTTATCAAAGGTTGCCAGTGGCAACGAGTAGAAGTGGGATGAAATTATTATAAACACATGAGATGATGCAATATTATATACAAGGGAAATAACTCAATTTAAAAGATAAAAGACAGCGTAATTATCATCTAATCAAATCTTATTTTTAACTATAAGTGTCAATATGTTTTTACTTTGCCTTATGCCCTCTTTTTCAAAATGGCATCTGGTGGGCTGAATACAACGTTATCGTGTTAAAATAAATTAGCATAGGTGAAAAAATACAGGTTAAAATAAAATTAAAAAAATCTGTTTGTTCTTTAACAATAATTAATTTTTTTCCCTCTTTCTATAAATTAATATAGAAAGAAAAGGGATTGAGGGTAGTAGATCGCAAAAGAGTGAGTATCGAGTTAGTTCTGTGGTATCCCCCAGCAGCCGAATTTGACTTCTTCTACTAGAGGATAGATCCAATTGCTTTAGTCTCAAAGGAAAGTATGTATGAACTTAATCCACAGAACCACGGCTCACCCGATATCTATATGTTTTCATCTTATATTTATTATAATCACATGGGATAGTGCAATATTATATACAAGGGAAATAACTCCTTTTATAAGCTAAACGACTTACGTATCGATAAATATCATCTGGCTCGTTGAATATTAGGGCGGACAGAACCTGAAATGCCCGAAAAAAAAAACCGGATTACAGTCGGCTCTGCCGGTCGTTTGCGAGAGGGGGAGGAGCAGAGCTTACCGTGACGTCCAGGACCCCCTCCCCAAACACACACACAGACACAAAGAGAAATTTTGCCCGGACAGCAGCGCTATGATCTACTCTTACATCGAATTCCGACTGCCAAGGGATCTTTTACGTGCACGCCAATATGTACACGGGACCTACGTCAAGCACAACTGACAAGGGGGAACGGCCAACACTGGGATCGAACCCGCGGCCCCCAAGCTAGCCATATAGGTAGATGTGATTTTATAAAATTATAAATAGGTAATTTGTGAAAACATTTTACCTACCTTAATATTGAATATTCCCTGTACACCCAGCAACAAATTGTTCAAATACCAAATTTCAATGGTATGCGTCAATTATTCTCCTTGTCTCCGCGGTCGGTTAATGCCTGACAGTTAAAACGACAAACGACGTTATCTTTAAAAAAAAAGTTATTGGTAATTTCTTTAATTTCTTTTCTTTTTCTTTTCTTTTTTTCCAAAAAAGTCTACGGGCTTAGGGATGTTTAGTTATTTTTTTTCTGGTGTATAGTTGTATAATTGTTCAACGAAAAATTTGACAATTTTGCATACAGCAGGCTTTTATAGAGAACACGTCATATCATTTATCATTTAATCGGATAGTTTGTAAAGGTTATATTTATTTGTATACATTCAACATTGATCGCAGTCTCGGTATCCCTGTGGCGTCGGGCCGTTCTACTTCACTAACCCTTGGGTCCATTCACGGGGTGTCCACGAATTCAAATTATCCGCCCTTTGATGCTTTCATTGGCCACGTAGGTTGTTTCTACGAACCAATCAAAAAACAGATTACATACCAGTCTTAACATCATTGTTTAATTTTACCACAATAAAGCCGCTTGTGCTTTCGATTATGAGAAAGTTTAATATCAAAGAAGTGACATGCAGACAAAAGGATGTCCTAAAATATTTTGACAATTCTAGTTTCAACAAAATGCGCGTTACTTCCTTTCGTCCGCGCGCTTTCTATTTCTGATTTGTCGATAAAAATAACACAATAATCAAGGGCGGATACTTTGACTATGTTTCTCCCCCGTGAATGGACCCATGGGTTTGTAGAGTTGAACGGGGCAATACCAATGGGATACTAAAGATGCATTGATCGAGAGCGAGATAGAAAATATATAGTTTCCGTACCCAAAAATGCACAGTGGCACCCGGTCTCCTAAAATGGGGAATATAACTCTAAGTAGCATGGCATAATTATCTTACCACGGTACTTTGTACATAGTTTGTCCATTTGAGTGATACGCCTGGTTGGGGCAGGCGGACAGCTACACATAAAATAACTGAAGCAAGAGTAATCTTTATGTTCCTCAGTTGGAAGTTACATCTTGACAGTCTTTTGATAGAGGACAGAGCTTTTACTTGGATCGTAGTTTTATAACGCGGCAGACTAATAGACTTGCAACACGTGTTGCAAACTAATTGACGGAAATTGGAACCGTGAAATTATCGTGGACATGTTTTGTGTTTGTTGATAAGTTGTTGCTTTATTTAAATTCTCTTCATAACTTCCGGGTAAATGGCATTGATTTGCTATGTTTATTTTAGCGACTTGACATAAAAAAAACAACAACCAAGGTTCCCTTGTACTTTTACTGTTTCGTGACACAGACGTCATGATGTTCGATATATTTTGAACCCATTTTCCAAATGGTATAGCTTCTGAAATGTATGAATGTCTCCAGCTATGAAACATTTTAAAAAATACTAAGCGAGTGCAGTGAAATAGTAATTTATATGACATTTGAAGCCAAATTAAAAACCTGCTATAGGCAGATTTAGCTCTTACATAATGCATATTTAATAGCCCTTCGATGTACTCATTTTTATTTTCAATAATAGCTACTGCCTAGATGGACCTAACAAATAAATTTAATGTATTTTTATCAATATTGATATAACCAAGTCGAAAATAAAGCTTACATGTCTTAATAACAAACATATTATAATATCAGACAGCTTTATGGATAACATTCACTGGGTTTATTAACTGCAATGTTTCAATGATATTGTCATATAAATACACCCGCAGAGACTGCAAAGCTTTACCGAAAAAGAAATATAACAAAGTAATCAGTTTACCTTTTCAAATGATAAGCATTGTCTAGGGAAGGGTTATAAGGGATATCGAGGAGGAGATAATATGAAGGGGGCGGGCCGGGGGAAGGGGTCACTAAGGAGATTATGGTGCTTTTATACTACGTCCCTGATAATGACGATGTTTTAGGTGCGAAATGGTTATATAGGTATAATTACTGTAGTGTTACGAAGAAGATTTGTGTGGAATCTGCCTCACTATATAGTTATGCCGCCATAATAAACTGAAGGTTTAAATTATCAAGATAGTTGAAAGTGTAAAATATAGACCACTATGACGTTTGCGACCCACACGCTACCATATATTGTTTATTTTCCGAGTTCGTGGTAATGACGAAACGGTAAGAGTACAGCCGTACTATATATTTTTACTTATCGTGGGATTGTTAAAATAAATATCGTATATAAATGACATATAAGTTGGAGAAATGAGCTGAATTTTAATGAAGATAATTAGATCTTAAGTTTATCAAGAGATCTTTTTGTCAACTAAACATATACACGTCAACTCATTAGCTTATATGAACTTTTATAAATGATGCAGCATTAAATTTATATAAAAGACTAGTTGCAAGCCAGTTCTAATTGGAGTTTAGCGACCTGTGCAGTTATCTGTCGGACCTGTGGAACATGAAGGCTGTAATTGCTTCAGTCATCTTATGTGTGGCTATCTGGCTGCCTCGACCAGCCATATCACTTGACTGGACAAATTTTGTACGGAACAGAGTAAACCGTGGTAAGACCATTAGATTATTATGGCAGTCGTTTTGATGTATATTCCTTCTTTCTTGAACTCCTAATACCACGGAGCCACGTGGGTAGGGCGCTGACTCGTTAGCCTGGAGGTCGGATGTTCGATCCCTGCATTGGCCGAGAAAGTTCATCGGGATATCCCGAAGTGGTTGTTCTATTATGAATTATCTGTAATATCACCTATTAAAGGCAGCGTCTAGTGTTATCCTTGACTGATAATATACATATGTAAAGTCCTTACGTATATTATAAAAAACTTGTTTTGTTTTGTTTATTATCGTTTCTTTTTGGAATTCTCACTTTATTATACCATCAATTATAGATACTGTCTTCTATATGCATACGTATAATGTTTGATCTATAGATAATATATCCTTTAATTATATGGGTAAGACGCTGGCTCGCTAGCCTGGAGGTTGGGTGTTCGACCTCTGCATTGGCCGAGAAAGTTCATTCGGATTTTCCGGATGCAGGACGGAGGGCCTGACAAGGATAGCCGTCTAGTCGTTTGGATGGGACGAAAAACCGAGGTCCCGTGTTCACGTTGGGGTGCGCGTAAAAGATCCCTTGACAGTTGGAATTTGATGTAAGAGTAGGCCGTAGTGTCGCTGTGTGGGCAAAATTTCCCTCATAGCACACAGTATGGACCGTTTTCATTAGCCCAGTTCTTAGCAGAACAGTAGGACGTTAAACCCCATTTCATTTCATTTCATTTCCTATAAATATTATAGTATACCCAAGCATACTTATGTTCTTTTACAGAAAATATCGTTAGTCCAGGGCTGTGCGAGAAATATGCTAACCAAGGAAGTTGTAGGTTTTATGATTGTTATAATGAAATGGAACGTAGTTGTTTGAACGATCCTGACTGGAGCTTGCATACGGTGGAAATCTGGTGCTTCAACTCACAATTCCTGGGCTTTCTGGGACGATTCAGTAGAACAGTGAGTAAACAGTTTTATTAATCTCCAACAGGTTCTGGTGGCAGTTGGAAGGGACAAAAAGATCAGAGATGGAAATAATGCAGTCTCGTAATATTGTACAGTATAATTAAAGTCACAGACTCTCAGATAGAACGAAGGGAGGGGGCGGTGGCTGAAGGAAGGTCATCCCAAGACATTATCTCCGGGCAAAGACCCAATAATTTGCTTGCGGATAAATGTCTGTATAAGTGGAAGAAAACATAAGAGTCTAAACAAGTCTATATAAGTGGTGGGAAAACTACCGAGGTTAGACCGATCTTTATAAGAGGGGAGAGGTGGATGCATTTTTTGTATATGTTTGGAGATAAATGAAGGAAGAGAGAGAGAGAGAGAGAGAGAGAGAGAAATGGGGTTTAAGGTCCTCTTGACACAAACTTGGTAATTTTGGGACTAACATATGGTTCAGTTTTATTTCAATAATTCGCTTGCGCGTAAGGGTCTTTATCAATGGGGGGAAACCAGAGGACCCGGAGAAAACCCACGAGGTTGGACAGGCAATCCTTCTCCTTGTCACGTACAACCGGGGAATTCGAAACCACACCAGATGACACAATGACAGACCTTATGATACAGCGCGCACGTGCTAACCATTCGGTCATCCCCCTCCACAAAAAATGGTTTAACGTCCACTCGACACAGACTAGGTCATTTCGGGACTAACATATGGTTTAATTTTATTTCAATAATTCGCTTGCGCGTAGGGGTCTTTAGCAGTGGGAGGAAACCGGAGGACCCACGAGGCTGGGCAGGTACCCCTACTCCTTGTCACGTACAACCGGGAATTCGAAACCACGCCAGTTGACTCAATGACAGACCTTATGATACAGCGCGCACGTGCTAACCATTCGGCCACCCATTTCACACATCCAGCATAAAGTAGTAGAGCTTCAACTTTATATAATTACTAAACTGGGCCCTATTTCTCAAAATCCTAACTATAGATAAAAACCAAATTTTAGTAGATACTTCAATTTTGATTGGCTAAGCACTAAAATCAATCTAATATTATCCAATCAAATTACTAAAATTTGGATTTTATCTTAGTTAAAATTTCGTGAAACAGGCCCCAGTAGTGTTCTTCTGAATATGATATTGTATGAAATTAAATACATTTATATTGACAGTTCTAATACATCTTTAACGGGTGTATAATTATTGATTTATTGTTTTCAGGCCATTGATTATCTTGATAATGTTCGGAAATGCCAAACCAAACGTCTTGCTGACGTCAGCTACCTTGATAACCCAAGCACTCGATGTCTCATCCTTGACAACCAGGCCACGTATGCTCTGACGGGAATTGAGCAAGGCGATATTAAACCCGATGACTGCTACTGGCAGAATAAACAGTTCTGTGAGGTGATAAAGAATCCTACGGACAATGTTGCTCTAATAGAATCAATACTTGGAGATACTAACGATGGTGGTCTCTTAAGACTTAAACGAGCGTAAGTTAATTATTTTACTCCCAATTTGTTATGTGCTACAATTTCCAACATAACGTTACTTATTGGGATAATTAAATATTTTATTTTTAGCGTCTATAGAGATGCCAGTCCTAAATTGTTTTTACCGAAGAAACGTATGTATAATAATGGGTACTGAAATCAATCGGGCTGTAGTGTGCTTTTCTTCGCGTTTTCTGATAAGCAATGTACGGGAGTGTTTATGGGTATTTAAATCTATTTTATTGGGTCACCCGGGCGTGCTTTATAGCAATTCGGAGTCACGGCACTGCCACAAGCATGGTGCCGGTCCAGACAATTCCGTAGGATATTTCAATCTAGATTCCCCTAGTCAGTGTATTTCTAATGACAATAGAGCACTCAATACCATTGAAACGTTATATCAACTCCTCACACAGCACAGAAAGTGGTATCAGGTATTCTAGAAAGTGTGGGCACACCCTGCCTTGTACATGGTATACGTCACTTATCGCTATATTAAGCATTAGATTCAAGCTAACTCAAGTGCAATTAATCTGCAATGTACAATAACGATACAATTATAAACATTTACATTAACGCCATTTTGTTTTTTTGTTTTTTTAGTCAAGTTGTACATATCCGATACTTGATTAGATTTTGTCCACAAGATGCCCAGGATATTTTCAAAGAGAGCTTCGTACCTTTAATTCCATCCGGAATTGGTTATAAACCCCTCGACTACGATTATGTGTATTAATGATGAGATTTGATGGTAACCAACAAGTTTGTCATAAATCCCGGAATTTCAGCAATTACAACAGCAGTACATTATAGTCAGTTGATACTCTTGAATAATATCGTTTGTTAATGTACTTGTTGTGTATTAAAGGTCAAATAAAAATATTCATGGAAACCCTTTATGTTAAAATGTTGACACGAGCAGTGGTTGTATATTGTCTTCGCACGTGTATGTCAGTCCGTTAATTTTGTTTGATTAAACATACATTATGCAAGAACTAAATCTGCCAATTGCAGGACTTTCTTTGGGCCTGAAATGTTATCTGAATTATTAATTAGACATTAATTAAATTATCCAGACAGTAATCAACTCTCGATGGCATCGCTAGTCTGTGATATTTACTGGATTAGAACCCGTTCTGCTGGTTCGTATTAAATCAAAAATGGATAATCGAGATTATGTTTTTTATCGTACCTACTTTAGTAATGATGATCGAGGCTAGGCCCAAAATTCAATCGCTAAATACTCGGTTCAGGGTGGATCAATTTGACTGAAATTTTCAGCAAATTCCGTTAACATTATCTAGTTTTTAACTATAATAGTGAGAACTGCTAGCTCTTTATCTAATCTCCAATAATGTATCTTTAAATTGGAAAGTGGAGTTTGTGGATTAGAGCCTTTTGCACTGCAATGAAAATGATAATTTTTCGATATCAGGACAACTAAATCTTTAGTTGTAAAATTGAATGGAAGAACCCCACGTAAATCCATGTTATTAGGTACACGAAAAGTATGCAGTGAAGATATATAGAGCACACACAGGGCCGGATTACGTACGGCTTTGTGGGGTCCTAGGTCAAAATATATCATGGGGCCTATTGTAAATTTGCCCTGATATAAGCAATCCAAACCAGGATATAAACAAATTTCTTTTGTCACCCCTGCACTACTTTAAATCTATCGTAGCAATGATCTCTGCGCTAAAATTATATTTTGATTATGTTTAACCAGTTCTGTCTCATATGTGATAATATCTGACACCAATATTGTCCTTTATGTGATAGAACTGGTTAAACACATTCCAAATATAATTTTCACACCCAGGTCATTGCTACCGTAGATGCGTAACGAAGATTTAAAGAAGGGATATTTAGTACTTATCAATAATGTCCCGATGGCGACGATAGAATTTTTAGAATGCAGCTTTTTGTTTTGGTTTTGGTGGAACTGATACCTCCCGTTAGGTAGAAACTCTCAGGAGATGTACGCTGCCTATATCTGACAACATTTTAATCATTACAGAGAGATGCGGATTCGTTATGGTTTACCTTAGTGGCAAAAGCGGGACATGTCATTGTCTTTGCATATCATTTCCGAATCAGTTATTCTGTATTTGCTCTAAAAAAATATTACTATACTACCTTTAAGTTTTATTTTTATTTTAGGATTATCACCTTCAGTAAGAATTAATAAATAATTTGAATGCATACAGGTCACAATTCTATGGAATACAATTACTGCTTATTACTGAGCGACGTTTCGACTAGGCTTCTCTAGTCATTATCGAAACGTCGCTCAGTAATAAGCAGTAATTGTATTCCATAGAATTGTGACCTGTATACTCTAGTTCAATTACTAAATGCCATTGAAACAGTTTAATTTGAATGCAGTTTGAAAAAAAAGGATTTTTGTTTATATATATTTTTAAATTTAAGGTTCCTTATGCAATAGCTTAATCCTAACCTAAGTACACACCCGTCTCTTCCCAGACATGTTCTAGAGATAAGATAACTCAGGAGATGACGAGCACGTTTTTATCTTCCTTGGTTTAGACCTGCTTAAATCTTTCTTTCTGTCAATAGTAGGCTACCTCGTAAGACCACCATGAAGCTCCTGTTACTCTTGGCTTTGTTTGGATCCAACCTGGTAAGGATCTGGATATATACTTCCATTAACAATCTCCAGGGTAGGGGGTATCCGTACTCTTTCCAAAACATCCGACATAATTTGCCGCTTTGTTCTTCTTTTTCTCTTGACATGGTAGCTAATATTTCGGATGTACCGGCTGTTCTGTAGTTGCTTGCTCTGGTAATCTGTATGTATTGCCCAATAGAATGAGACGGTCTATGATCGTGGGATAGTTGAAAAAAAATCATTGGATACTCAAGGGGTGGGTGGGTACCATCTGGACGTCGCTCTGATGAAGAAAGACTAGTCAATCGGATTTAATGTTATATGGATAATATTCAGAAATAACGATTCGTTAGTCAGGCCCCCAACATCCAATTTGGGCACTATGGGCAATTTTACTCTTTAAAAGCAGAAATCAAACGTCTTTTGGTTTGGAAAATAGCACACTGTAGACTGTACACGTGTCAAAGAACTGGGAACTTTCGCAGATGTTAGCCACCGAGATCAGAATAATATAGACGGAATATAATGAATCTAATCCAACAACACCGATGAGTTTCGTTGAAATCTTGAGATGAGTCGCTTTTTAATCCAACTGAAACCATACTGGGAGATTATTTACTGTTGACATGTTGATTTTAAATGTTGAATAATCGATTTACGCATGGAAAATTTGATATTTTTTTTGTAAAATGCAAATGTCGCACGGAAATTATAAATATTTTTGTGGTCACGACAAGTTTAGAACCGACTGTTTATTTCTATGCAATTTTTAAGAACTCATATAACAGAACACAACTTGTACGTGCAATGTGTTTATCATATAAGCAAAAGGTTTCATTTGTACTTGATTCTTGTCGAAATGTCGTGCTTATATAATAAAACCAGTGATTGTTTCCCATAAAAATTGTGTTTAGGTAATGTGTTTCTCAATTAATAAATGCTACTTAAAGATACATTATGGGAGATTCGATAACGAGTTGGCAGTTCTCACTATAATAGTTAAAAACTAGATAATGTAAAGGCAATTTGCTGAAAATTTCATTCAAATTGATCCACTATGAACCAAGAACTAAGCGAATGAAATTTCTGCCTAGCCTCGGTCATCATTACTAAAGTCAGTACGATAAACAGCATAGTCTCGATTATCCATTTAATCGTTAAATCGAGAAGGAAAGTTATGCAGTAAATCGGCTCACAATCCACTTAAGATCGCAGGCTAGCGATGCAATCTAGAGTTGATTATGGTCGGTCGCAAAATCAGTGCAGTCGGTCGCAAAATAAGAGCAGTCGCAAAATAAGAGCAGTCGCAAAAGCAGTGCAGTCGGTCGCAAAATAAGAGCAGTCGGTATCAAAATAAGTGCTCACTACACACGTCACGCTACTCACGCAAAACTTTAGTATAAAATAACCTTGTCAACTTAATGTGTTTCACTCTTATTCTGTTGTGAGTATGTAGGTCTAAGAACAAAATTTACCCCAGGGAGAAAAATAGTCGGTCTCAAAATTATGCATCGCCGTCTTAATGAATTAATGAGGTAAACAAATAATGCCAGAATACATCCCAAATACTAGTCGGTCGCAAAATCAGTGCAGTCGGTCGTAAGATATGAGCAGTCGGTATCAAAATAAGTGCTCACTGCACACGTCACTCTACTCACGCAAAATAACCTTGTCGAATAATCATGTATGAAAAAAATGTTTTTCACCCCATGGCAAAAGAATAGTCGGTCTAAAAAAAAGTGCTCACCGCAGTCGGTCTCAGACTAAATGAATTAATGGGGTGTTTTCTGACCATCAGAATTCTGCAAAATCTCTCCCCAAAGTCCAGGGCATTTCAGAGACCAAGTAAGCGCCCCATTGAGGTAAAGTGCCCTCAGGCCCAGTCCTCAAAAATTAAAAGCTCAGTAACATATCGGCGTTCAATTCCATTATGCCATCATTCTTCAACTCCTTCTCTGTCTTATACTATCTCATGTCTATCATATTCACAGTTACAGTGAATAACCAAGTTAGTAGTACCACTAGTGAGTGAGTCGTGGGTCAAAAGACTGTAGAATTGTTAGTTCTACTCTCACAAAACAGGCAACATTGACAGATAGGCCTCAAGATTCTGTCTCATTTCTTATCCTCTCGTTAACGAGAATTTGGATCCATTTGCCATGAATTTGACTAAAATTGTCAGGCCCAGTCCCAAAAATTAAAAGCTCGGTTACACATCTCAAATTTTTTCGCGCCTGCGGCGCTCGATTCCATTATAACATCATTCTTCCACTCCTCTGTTGTCTTATACTGTCTCACCACTATCATATTCACGGTTATACTGAACTGCCTAGTTACGTTAGTAATACCACTGGCACTGGTGTGTGAGTCGTGGGGCGTCAGACTATACAAAAGTTCTGTCAACTCTTGCAAAACAGGCGGAATTGACAGGGGGCAGATCTTGTCTAATTGACTCACATTTCTGGTCCTCTCGTCCACAAGACTTTCTCCCAGCAATGACCTCAAACGCCAAGATATTGACTCAATTTTTCAAAATTTTCTCAGGTTGCTCAGTGTTATAGGCACAATCATATATGACATAAACTTTATGTCAACTTAAATAAAACTGCTTTCCAGCGAGACAACGATCGGCAAACAACTATATAATTATAATTATACAATACCATCTATGTTTTACCGGGGCGCTTTACGTTAAAGCCAGTATTTTGTTGACATTCATTGTGGGTGGGATTGTGGCTGGGGTGGCGCCCTAGATTTGGACCCCCCCACCCATCTAGATCCGCTACTGCACATGGCCCCTACAAAACTCGCACCTGTGGTGCTCGGTTCCTGACTGCGTCACTCGTACTAGGGGTATGGGCATCAGTCGGTCGCATTTTGGCTAAACACCCCCCCAAACAAAATCGTTATGTACGCCCCTGATTATGGTCTGGATAAGTTAATAAAATGTCTAATTAATAATTTACATAACATTTCAGGCCTAAAGAAAGACCTCCAATAGACAGATTTAGCTCTTGCATAATGTATGTTTAAAGATCATATTTCAAGTTGTATATACGTTACAGATTAAACTGATAAATAGAATTTACCGCTTCCTACCTGGTCATATAACTTGACAATATCCATGTTTTTGTTTGTATTTTTAAACAGGGTTTGTTGTTTCAACCATCGGGCTATGTCGACAGATTTAAAGATGTCATCTTTGAATTCCATAAATCACACGTAAGTTATATTTTTAATTCAATAATTCGCCCGCGCAAAGCGATCTTTATAAGGCCGCATAAATATGGTATATCTGAGAAATATTTGTATTTTATGATTCTGATCTTTTGATATATATATATTTTTTAGACATTAACATTGATTGTTTTAATACATTCGGGATAATATTATTATCTTAATATTTCAGAATCTACTTTTGGTAAAAAACAATCAATTGAAGGATTGTTATTTAGTTCGAGTTAATCCTCTCATCGAAAATTTATTCATGACCAAGCAAGGCCGATATTTGGTAGAGGTAAGACTTCGGCTTGAAGAAATAAACCCAATCAAAGTATCTGCAAATATTTGTTACATGGGTTAAACATTTTCCAGGGAGAAAGCACCCGGAACCCCATTCTGACAGTCCCTGCCCCTCCCATCAAGCATCGTGAATATCCTTCCGATGGACCCGGTAGATTAACTGATTCAAATAGAAGTTGACATGACACAGTGCATGTGTTTGTCACTTCGCACTGATTTGGGTAGATAGTTAACAATATTATCAGGATCTAATACCCGCTGACATTATTTGTATTACAACTTACACCGTACAAGTGTTAGGATAGGGATCTCATTTAGCTGCAATCTGATTAAAACACAGATCCTATTTCGTTTCGTTTTCAAGTCCAAAATTTCGTTTTACTTGTCTTTACTTCACTAGGATCTGAGAGAGTTAGATGATGCTAGGGATTAGCCAATGAAACGGTCTGTTACGGCGAGTTTTTGGCGTGAGGTGCATGGAACTGAGGGTAACCCACTAGAAACGTCAACGCTGATTGGTTAATGAAATGTCTGACGTCATAGGGTCAAAGGTCACTCGCATGACCTCTGACGCGACCTTCCACTACAACCGGTCAGATCTTCATATAGTAGACGCCATCGAAAGAATAAAAGAAAGCTTGCCAGGCAACGAAACATACGCCCAGAGCAGTTAAATCATCCGGGCAGTCAACAAGTGTTGTCGCATATTTTTCTTTTGTCGGCAATCAAACATTTATATTACACTGAAATCTGATTAAGAGTAACATCTCATTAAGTAATTATCAGAAAATCATTAGAATTTGTTTGGCTTCTAGTTCTGCCCCATGCTAACGTTTAATATACAAAATATTTATATCATGGATTTAGCTGTTCCAAGTTATCAAAAATCATTGAAAATCAATATACTTGTTCGTCTCAAGGCCTTAAACTCTGTGTATCAATCTAAAGTCAATCGAATGAGTACTTTGGCCTGTACAGCATCTGCAAGTAATCAAGTAATCAAGGGCGGTAGCTCTGGCAGTAATCATTGGAAATCCTTGATAATATATAGGAGTCATCGCCTCATGACCGTCAGCACGGTGTATAAATTTAAAATCAATCGGATGATAACTTTGGTCTCTAGAGCATCCACAAGATTTTTCAAAGTGATCAAGGGGCATTACTCAGGCAGTAATTATCGGAAATCGTTGAAAATCAATAGGTTTCTTCGTCTTATGAACTTAAACTTAAAAGTCAATCGTATATTAAGTTTAGCCTCTAGAGCGTCTACAAGCCGTGGATGAAATATAGATCTGTATTTTAATCAGATTGGTTTAGCTACTACGAACCATTGGTGGACAGATTATAAAATTGATTCCAATTTGTATTACAGGACGATATATACAAACAAATACAGAGCCAAACCGACGAAACTAAGGTGAATCTACCACAGATTACACTCGACTTCGGTGATTATTTGGCTAAAGCTGAATGTAGAAACGATTTTGTCTTTGAGCTCAAATTTACACCACCACAAACAACAGTTATGCCACAAGCAACCACGCCAATTCCTACACAAACAATGCCTACTACTACTATGCCCGTGACATCCACTACTCAGCCAGCAACAGCCACTACTCTGCCAGGAACACCATCTGTTTAGCCAGTGACCACAGGAACACGAATAAATCATGTAAATCACTTTTCATTGCGTTCTCCTTAAATTATAAAGGCTGATATGTTTTTCCCTTACATCAAAACTACCTACTGATCTAAGGGTTCATGGATAAGCTAGCCCCCAGGTAATAGAGGTATTTCTTAACTGACTGGCACCTTTAAGATTCTTAATGTTACCAACTCCTGTTGTGTATTCGTTAATAAGTCTGCGAAATTTGTCCTGATTGCACACTTCCAAAACGCAATGTTAGTCCCTGTTGGTTCCGGCAATTCGTGGGACCGCAGGATGACCATACGAGTAATTGGCGAAAAAAACAACAACCCAATACAGCGATAATCCTGAAACATTTTCATGAAATAAAGAGCTATATGTTTGCATGTCCATACTATTATATCCACAAAGTCCTTTCACCAACTGCATTTTAAGAAAAGTAGCTAACCATGGGGATATGACAATTGGTATCAATTTGCCCAATTCCAGGTAATCAATCAGGGAAATACAAACATCCACATACATATCATTTGTTGTAGATTTTATTGATTGTCATACAGAAATGATATTCTAACACAAGGAGCACACCAAAAAACATTTATATCAAGATGTAACAGATTATCAAATATAATTTCTTCTTCTATTCCATTAGTTTTCATGTCGAATTAAAATGTATTATAATAAAAAATATCCATAATCTAAGATAATAAAAATGTGTGTAAGTTATAAACAAGCCGCCTGATCTACACACGAAATATTGACTTCTAACACAAATCTTGTAGCTGCTCTTAAATACACTTTTGAAAATTTATTTTGGACGTTAGAGTTTTTTTTTAACTCCTGTAGACAATTTACGTGCAATAATTTCTTCGAAAACCACTAGGTCTCTCACTATCGTATTTCCTTTGGACAGGTTATTTCCGGATAATAGGATTTAGATCTGCCTCTAGATCATGTCGGTAATTTTACAAGAATGGTCCATGAGGTTCTCACAGGCGACCAAGAGTCGCCATATCCTCTAAAAAGATATAACAATTTTCCGAACATACAGGGGAGTTTAATGCAGAATGTTGGGTGTTAAGGTAATGTGCAGGTAATCAGTGAGTTTAAAGGAGTAAACTATCACCATTTCCTAAAATAGATTATCAAATTTTAAATTTAACTATCAATGATTCCTAATTCTAGAATTGTTAAATAGCAGTGCTGATTTTGCTATATCATTTTGTGGATATCACTTTCATATTTGTATACTTAAAGAATTAAACTTAAAATGGATTTAGTAACATGACATCACAATAAGCACTTGCACTTAAAACTAACATAATTATCTGTAAGACATTAATAAAAGCAATCTACATAATCATATTTAAACAATGTTTAATCTTTGGTATAATCGTCATCAACAGCTTTATTTTAAAATGATATTTAACAAAGACAATGATTTATAAAACAACAAAACAATGACTGCCAGAGACAATATAAGGTTCACAGCCTCATAGGCTACAAGAGATAAACTACTAAAGCTTGGTTAAAATTGATTATGGGGAAAGTTTAGTGGATTCTATTTAAAATTCTAACAATTATTGAAATAATTATTGAATTCTTAATTCTTAGTACATTTAATTTTCAAAAATGTATACAAGTGTCGAAATATTCAGTTAATTCATTGAAAAGGAATCAAAAACCTCAAAGTTTCTAGCAACGACCCGAGTTAAAGTAGATACCTAAGTTAAATCAAATCGGGACCCTTTTTCCCCATATATCTTTCAAATTCAATTTTATAGACTCATGAGCTAACTTTATATCGCAAAATAGCCTAGGTGGGGAATCCGCTAAACAAATCTTATATTGTCTCTCACAGAATAAAACACCTCACATAATAATAATGATTTAACAAATAATTAATAAATATTAAAGCTCTGTGACTATATTTATAATACATTAATCTATTATTATAAACAATATTTATTCTTTAGTAACCTTTAGTTAAAAAAAAACTACATTCTACAAATTTTAAAAATTAAATTGCCTCCATCTTCTACAGTGCAAAGTCTTGATTAAAATTAGGCGATATTAAGTGACAAGAATTATTCCAAATTTGTAAGTAAATTTTATAATAAATAGAAGAATAATCCATCAAAAGAATAAAAAAAAATCTTGGATGAACAGAAAGTGTTGTTTTGAAATTAGAGGGTACCGGTATAATTTATTTGTTAGAATCTTACTTTCATTTTTGAAATTAGGTTGTTGTTCAGACAGTAACTATCAAAATTTTATATCAGACTTTACAAGTAGAAATAAATGATACTTAAAGTTATTGGCTTGAAATTAAAACAAAGGTCACTATCACAAACGGGGTTACTATATATCTTAACATATCCAAACACTAAATACCGTGACATATATATACCTTTCATATTTAAATATATATATATAGAGAGAGATACATATATATTCAATCAAAACACAGGTCATTTGGCTTTCTCAATACTGTTTCATCAACACACAAAATAAAATATTCACAAACCAAATTACTGTCAATTATTATATTAGAAATAAACAGATATAGGTAGAAGAGTAAGGGGTTCTTGTTCAAATTGTATCTTTTCATTTCGTTGATTGTTTGCTACAATGGGCTGTTTTCCCTAGATGGTCAAAGATTGTCCTTAAAGATACATAATACTAAAACTAAATTATATTTGGTTCTTTCTTGATATATTACAAACCCCAAACATAAACTCACATTACTATTTCTAAAACAAGATGGCAGTGTGAAATCAACAAAAACTAATGTAAACTTTAAATGGCTATACTGTAGTTATAATTTATCAATCTGAATAATATTTTCTACAAAAATGATTTTTAAATAAAAGTACTTCCGACCGGGTATGATCTTCAACTTTGTATTTTACTTTCAATTCTGCCATGTGGGTGCTTTAAGCACATTTACTGATATTCTCCCCCACAAAAAATAATTTTCAGCAATTTGGTTTATGGATAAAAATGCCTTTTACATAAGTTTCATTAGATGAAAAATACACAAATAAAATATTAATGATATATTTGATAATATGATACAATATATATATAATATAACAATAACACAAGCACATTAATAATAAAAACAAACATATAATTTCCATTCTTAATTTACGAACAAAATGATCTTTTTATGTTATTTTCCCATTTTGTAATAATAATTTGTAAACGTACAATATATTCAGGCACAGTGACAGGATCTTCATCCAAACTTTAATGAAGGATGTAAAATGAGATATATATATATGATTAAAACCAAATATTAAGACAAGATACAATGTATATAATAGTTATATTTATAATATATTTATAGCACAATGTTGGCCACTACAAAGTTAGTTAATAAATTAACTTAGCACTACACTTATTAACAACAAAAAACAAAACAAACAAGACATCATCAGCAATCATATTCTTGGAGATCCAACATACGTGTACTTCAATATATACTTCACTAATCTGGTTGATACTGATCACATTTGTCTTGAATAATAACACCAAAAATAAATAGACATTACAGATATACTATAATGCAGGCGTAAGTACATGAATTTCTCAAAATATGGGATAAAATTTGTCCCCCATTTGTTTAAGTTTCACAAACTTTTATCAAAATTGATGCAAAGACGATTTCAAATTTCATTTACATGTACCTTCATGTTAAACGATTTCAGTTCCATTTTAAATCAATTAATGTAAGTTCAAGGATTAAAAAAGAAAATTAAAAAGTAAGATATGAACATACATGTATGCTTTACATCCAATACTGAAAACCACATATAAATATTTCCCTTCTTGTACACATAAAATATATATGTATTCTCATATTTTCCCCATAGAACTAGCATAACATAAAAAGTAAAAATTTATGTTTCACTAAGCATAAGACAGAAAGTACTGCATCTTTATAATAATGAATTATCAAAATATAAACTGCTAAATACACAATCCAAAAGCTTATAAAACTCTTTTCATATTCTGCCCGATTTGACCTAAATACTAACTTAAAATAAATTACATCATCTAAACCAACCAGAATCACTTTTATTTAATATTTTCATAATTCACAATCTGATTGCTCAAAAAGTTCCTGTGACCATAAAACAGAAAATGACATATGTAAAAAAAACAACAAAATAACAATAAATGATCGAAACATAATAAACCCTTATTAGAATCAGATGGTATTATACTGTAACAACATAAAACAATTGAAGCTAATATCCATAACAACTGGGACTATTTTGTCACAACTTAAAATACACACTGTGTATACTATCTAAACATTGTTTTATTTAAGTGACCTTCGACAGCATAAAATAAAATCTGTTATTCTGGAAACAAGCAACTTTATAGAATAATTTGTTAATTATATACAATATGAGTTTCACCTTTTAGTCCAGTCCATATTTAGTGACATCTGAGACAATAGCATGTACCAATTTGAAGTTAGGAGGCCATTGTTGTGGAGGTATAATAGTAGTATCAGACCAGAGGTCTCCTTAACGCATAAATTTGCTTCCTGGATTCAAAAAGTATATTTTGATGCAAATTGGTATAGGTTGATTGATATATACAGCAAATCTGTTAATTTTCGTTGGTCTATTTAAAATCCTGTATTTAGTCAACCTATGTAGAAATATGAAAGTCATATTCAAAGATCTATTTCTATTATGTATGTCTGTAATTTATACATGTAATAATACATTGTGAGGTAATGAAATGAATAGCCAGTTTGTTTACCGTGTGTCAAACCCGAAAAGTAATGGCCAACTCAACAGATTGATTTTATGACTTTTAAGCTTATTCTAAGACACACCTGTAAGGCACGCGTGAAATCCTGTATTTTCCCACATGAATCAGAGCTTTTAACAGTACTTGTCGCTATCAACTAGCAGACCTATCAACGTGCAGGCCTATGAATAGAAATATTGTGTCAACAGGTCCTAATGAAGCTTTGGGCCAAACGAGGTGAATCACAAGAATGGCATCTTTCAAAATAGCATTTGATTTTCATGTCAGCATCCTTAATTTCTTGACCAATTGTTTTGTCAATCACCATTTTAATTGTATTCATGGAAGAAATTTTTTGGGACGACACAAAACATTTACTGCTTGCATTTCACTCTTATCAGGTGCTTGAAATTAGTAAACAAGCCGACTTCCTCTTTATCTTTCCAAACCAAAATTTATATGTATGCAGCATGCCCAATCGTTAATTGGAACAACACATGGGATCAAACCAATTCAATAATTTGTTTTGATCTAAATCAAAGTGCTTATCTACTTTAATGCTGTCGTTATACATGTATATATATGTTACAGGTTAAAAAGATAAGTTTTAATATAGGACTAATTGTATTTGACCATTCAGTTAAATTTTTTTCTGACAAAACATATTGACAAATAAAAGACATGTCGATCAAGTGTTTCAAAAAACTATCCGTCAACCTACATGGAATGTCCCATCGAACATAAGTTTTTAAGTTACTTGTATTTTTCGTATGGAAAAATCATTAGGACTTTGCTTGAAAACAAGACACAAATTACTTGAAATAGCCACAACTTAAAAAGTCTCAAATATTTGTACATGTAAAGACACAGATACAATAAAATACACAAACCGGTACAATGATATGGCAAAAACCTCTTTGGATTAATCATATTAAAAATAAAAGTAAAATATGGATTTCTTTAGTCTCATGTACATTTGATAAAACTTTCGTATTTGGCTCAGAGATATTCTAACACCAGAGGATACAAATACAGTTCAGTTGAGAAACACCTCTCTACTGAGCATTTTTTAACATTTTTTGTAAAACCGGACAGTTTTGATTTGAGGATGTAGAGCTCGACTCATTTGGCGCTACCAAAGCTGTGGCAGTAGGTGAAGCCATCAAGTTGAATAAAGGAGACGAGCTTGACCGTGTGGTCGATTGACTTAACTGAAGATGCTGGGACAGTAGATCCATGCGCCCAGCAACAGCCAACGGTTGGGTCTGATTCAAGGGACTAACAGGATGAACTATGATACCCGAATCAGACAATTTAGGGATCTTAGATGCTTGTATGTCAGTTGCTGATGTACAAATTTCAGCAGATCGCTTCTGTAACAAACTGCTTGGAGGCAACTGATCATCACCTTCGTGTAAAAGTATAGTTCTGTTTTCGCAAGATGATGAATTTCTTTGGGTTTCACTAACTTTATCTTTGTTGGAGACTTTTTCCACCAGATCAGGCACTTTCACAGTTAATCCTGAAGATATCACTACTTGGTCGTCGGACGACAACACGACTTGGTCGCCTGACCGCCATTTAACGACAGACCCGTCACAATGTTTGATAGTTTGATTGATCTCGTTTATAGCACCCTTTAAACTATCTTCACAACCAGATTTTAAAAGGCTAGAAACAGAACACGACTCCATGTTCGATCCCGATTTACCAACACTCTTGACACTTGGAGACGTTTTCTGTGTCAATACTAAATCGCACATCTCATTCTCATTTCTTATAATCCATTTGTTCTTCCCTACTGAAATAATTTCTAGTTCAGATTCTCCGAAAAGCAGCATGTTACGCTCATATTTTGGCTTCTGAGGTTCTACCATGGGTATGGAAACAGCTGTTGACTTTGGTTTTTCCTTCTGTTGTTTGACAGGGGAAAGTGTGGCTTTAGGTTTTGTTATTTCCTTTGGAGAGGACGACAGATCCAATGGGGTACCGGCCCCAGAATCAGGAGTGCTTTGTGTGCTTATGACCGGTAATGTAGGAATTTTCACACCTTGTGTCATCGGAAAATATCCCATGATCATTCCTTGTGGAGACATTGCTGGAAATCGTGGAGTGAGTGGAACCTGGCTCAATCCCCGATCAGGTAAATTGTAGTCGTAAAAAGATCCAGAATTTGGAAATTTATCATAGTTAAAAGGCATTGTGGGGTAAACCCCACCATTAATGGGTGTCCGTGGTGACTGACTGGATCCACGTAGCGCAGTGTGGGGAGAGGGTTTCTGTGAGGATATGCGTCCTTCAGCTTTCTTGTCCGATTTGACGTGATTAACTGCAGAATTCAGTTTGGGACTCATTTGTGACATGAGGCTAAAATTGGTGGGACTTTGGGTAACGTTGTTCTCTATCATTGTGGGACTGGAAGATACAGACATAGACTTTGTGTTCACTGAGTGGGCTCCTTTTAAAGCATCATCACATACTTGTTCCGTTTTCAGTATTTTAATTGCAACGCCGTTGTCTTTTAAAGCACTGGAACTTTGAGCAAGAGCCAACTGATTGATCACAGCATCAAGGGTGGGACGAGAACTTTCTGCTTTTCCTTTCGGGCTGGTTTTACTGGCAACAAGTTCTTCTGTTTTGTCCGATTTATCAGAAATCTTTGGTGAACTGTGAGCTATTGGTAATAAAATGGCTTTGTCCATGTTGCCGTCTTGGGCAATACAAATAGAGCTGTTTGTGGATGAAACAATGGGTGATGTTTTCGTTGATGGGTCGGGACTGCTTGTGGATGATGAGACAGACACTGATATTGGTTTGGTGGCTGGAGAGGTACTTCCCTTGGAAGTATCTATGATGATCGTGGGATCGACGGTGGATGTGAAACTAGAGCTGGGTGAGATCTGTGACATCATACGATGAACAGTTTCAGAGTCCATTGTAATATCTTCACTAAAACTCATCTGTAAATAAAAATGAAGAGGATGAGAAAAAGATGTCCCATACATTTTCATTTTAAAATAATTGACAAAAGAATATAAACTATGTGTATCTCCAATCTGATTAAAACACAGATCCTATTTCGTTTCGTTTTTATAGTTCAAAATTTCGTTTTACTTGTCTTTACTACACTAGGATCTGGAAGAGTTGTTATCATTGACGTGTTCTAGAGATGTGAGGGATTAGCCAATGAAACCGTCTGTTATGGCGAGTTTTTGTCCTTTTGATGCACGGAACTATTGGTAAACCACTATAAACGTCAACGCTGATTGATTAATCAATGTTTGACGTCATAGGGTCAAAAGCCACTCGTACGACCCCTGACGTGAACTCCCACTATAACTTGTCAGACCTTCATGTAGTGTAAGCCATCGAAAGTATAAAAAAAACGAAATCAAATATAGATCTGTATTTTAATCAGATTGGTGTACCTCTTGATCCCTTCATATATCTAAATCCAGTCTATAAAAGTACTCATCAAGTCTTTCACTGATTAGAGTATAGATGCCTTTAAGATTACTCTATTAAAAGATACGGAATTGAATTCTCTCAATCTCCAACGATACATAACAGTTGACAAGGCATGTGTTAATTGAATGTGACATCTAAAACAATCACCACATCGGTAACCATTTGCTTGTGTTTGATTACATCACGATTCTACTCTCACCACACTAGTTATCTGATGAAAGTGTGATAGAGAGTGAGCTCTGTTTCTGTAGTAAATAAAGGCCAGTAGTGTCTATGTTTACAGACATCTGCCCGTACATTATCTTATTTAAAACAATGCACTTAAAACGCTTAAAGGTTCATCTTGGCCAGGTGACCTAACTGTAGCCACTCTAGTCATGGCCCTGTGACCTAACTTTAGCCATAGTTGGTGATGTATAACTGGATACGAGTTTAATTACCTCATCATGTTCTGTTAGTGAGTTGATATAGTCGAACCCTCTTCTGTTGGTGATAGCTTTATCGCGTATAATACGATTTATAGAGCTAATACTGGGTATATTCTTTTCTGTACAAATACCATCTTGTATTAATCTAAACAAAACAAATCATAACCCATTAAACAATAGATACTGTGATAAAAAGAAGATCAACACAAATGTGTATTGAATTTACCGGTAATGCCACTCATCATATTATACTCCATAGCAATTTCTAAAATATTTTTTCCTATTCAGGCCAAAGTGTCACGCATTAAAAGTACGAAACTTAAAGAGTCTCTACAGATATTGTAGGAATTTGAATGGAATAAAACTGCGTTTGACATCTCATCTAGACAATACTTTAATCATTTTGAGATCAAAATATTGTGATTTTCATTTCTATGTTAGTGTGTGCAATATGAACAGGAGAAATTTGCCAGGACTTATTCTGCTTCTAATTGCCACCTGTCCTTTAATGTACACACCAATGTGGTGGAATCGTTCCGACTGAACTACCATTGTGGTTGTGTACAGGCATCACCTCTGACAGCAGGGCTTGAAAAATTGGCTAATACTGGAATCAGGGTTTGGGCTTGTAACCAGTCTGACTCAATTGCTTGCTTTGTATCTTTACATCAAGACTTTACCCAACATTCTAATCAGGTTTTTTAACCATCCAACTCTTTATTATTAGCAGAAATCTTGGATCGGTGCAATATTTCTTATTTATTCACATGTTTTTCTTTTTTACATCTTGTTATCACTATTATGTGTATTGAGTACTGTATGCCTACCAATTTATTTTACTTCCAAATGTCAAGGCCAAGATCACTAAACTTAAGAAAAGGTCAAACCACGACATGTTGACAGTAGATGATGAAAGCAAAGTATGATAAATATACTTCTATCAAGTTACAATCAATTTTAGGCAATTTAAAGGGAGAAAGGCCGACTTACTTCTGACGTATTTCCCAAGCAAACATCTGAGGGTTCTCTATCTTGTACTGTCGAACACGACTTACTACATCAGGGGTTGTGACCTTTGGTTTACTTCCCCCAATCTGACCAGGATTAATACTTCCTGTTTTACGATATCTGAAATAATAGAAATACAATAAATAAAAACAAACAAACCAACAGTGAGGCTGATGTCCCCTGCCCAAATCCGAAAATAAATAAATGACACATATTGATTAATTGCACATTTATCTTTTTCAAAAGTATTGAGCAATCAAACTTTAGTGGGAAATGTTAATCATTGAACTCAGTCAAGACATTCACCTAATGAACATTAAACATTCTACCTCAATTAAAAAGTGAGTTGTTAAATTCCAAAGTCTCAACCAACAAATTGCTTATCGCTACTTAGCCTAAGCAGAATATGCTCATTATCGAACTTAGTCAAGGAATTGATGTAATAAAACTATACACCAAGTTTCATCACTCTCACTTAATTAGAACTAAAGTTATCGTGTCCCAAAGCATCAAATAGCTTATATTTGCTTATCCTAAGCAGAAAATGCTCATCTTCGAACTCCATCACGGTATTCACCTAACACCTACACCTAGTTTGAACATTCTAGCTCAATTCGAAGCAGTGTTATTGTGTCCCAAAGACGGACAGACAGACAGACAGGCCGATGGACAGACCCCTTTTAATAATCCGCTGCTTTCTTTGAATGGCGGGGGACAATAAAATTAAAAACAGAAATATCAGCAAGACAGGAAAATAATTCAAGAAGGTACATTTATATGTTATCCCAGAGTATGATTCCAAAGATCTGACCTCTGCTCTTATATCTTATGTTTTAAATACTTATCGAAGTATTTTAGGCAATATGTACTGAGTTTTGTTATGATGATTTTCGGCAGATGCATGAAACCTAAATATTGTTTGCTTACACAGCAGTAAAATTTACACTCTTATAGCTCTCTTACTTTGTTACCTTGAAGATTGAAAAAAAAAACCCAAGCACTCACCTGTTTAATATTTTACTGACACAACCATGTGACACTTGTAACTGACGACTGATTTCACACGGTCGTATACCTTGTAATGCTAATTGGAGAATCTGAACACGTAGATGTTCTGGTAGGGGACGTCCATTTGTAAACTGACGACCATACTGATTTATATTTCTGCTTGCTGTACCTGTGTAAAATACAAAAGAAATTGTTTTTAAAAGCTGAAGGCTCGAAGGGAAACAATTTGTTGTCATCAGAATACTGGTGCATATAAATTGAAATCGAATACCGTTTCAAGGCTATTGGAACTGATTTTTGGTATTCATTATTCCAGGTCAATTTTAAGATTACATTTTTTTTTTCTGTCTCAAGTAGGATATACATGTATGTACTGATAATGTTAATTCAATGAAATCAACAAATATTAAAATATAAATAAACTAGGAAATATTTGATTTGAAAGATTGACAATTTCTACAAATGCACCAAACGCGATACATAAATCAATAATTTCGAATGTGTTCGAATCCTGCGTTGGACGAGAAAGTTCATCAGGATTTTCCGCAAGGTTCCCCGTTGTCAGTGGTGTAGGACGGAAGGCCTGGCAAGGGACAACGCATAGTGTAGGATGTGACGAAAAACAGAGCTTTTGTGTACACATTGACATACATGTAAAAGAACCTTTGGTATTCGATATAAGACTCGTAGGCTGTACTGCCTGATAGCACACAGCATGGCATATGCCTGTTTTTATGAGGCCAGTTTCATTTCATTTCATTTAAAATTGACACATGTATTTCATTCTTTAATTTAATAATTGACACATGTATTTCATTGGGAGGGGGGGGGGGGAGAATTAAAATCCTTGCACAAGTCTAAATAGATTCAACAAATTTTATTGGAGTTGTCTCCCTTGAAGCACAGAAAGATTTCCCAATAATAGAGATATCAGCAGTCATAGCATTATATTACCCAATCCCAACCCCATACTGAAACCTGACTAGTAGTAGTGTTGAAAATCGGATCGAGATTTGTGATCCAAATACTTTTGTTGGCTATCCGAATACTATTCAGATAATTCAGAGACATGAAATTCTTGAACAAAATTACATCAAAAGTTCATATACTGGTACTCATAATTTCTTACTTGTTTCAATGTTTATGAGTGTCTGTGTATGCCGAGTATGAAATCGTATTTTCGATTTGCAAATTGTTTGAGCCACGAAGAAAAAAACGTGCCTACCTTTAGCCGTAATTATTAAGACTATCTATGACATCCCAAAAAATCATTGAGGTGAATAAATTTGTATAGTAATCTGCACCCTCCCTCTTCATTTTGCTCAATCAACATGAATGAAAAGATAGGTTGCCAGACAATGAAACATATGCCCACAGCAGCTATATCGGATATTAACTTTGACCTTTAGGGCGTCCACAAGATTTTTTGAAGTGATCAAGGACCATAACTTTGGCCGTAATTATCGAAAATCGCTGAAAATCAATAGGCTTCTTCGTCTCATGACCTTAAACACTGTGTATAAATTTAAAGTCAATCAGATTTTAACTTTAGCCTATAGAGCGTACAAAAGCAATTGTGGACGTGGGACTGACGGACGGACGGGGGCGACAAGATACAAGCACATTTCAATGTGGGCGTATAAAAATAAAAATAAAAATGTGCCATTTATTCCGCCAAGTTGTTTGCCTCGTTCTGATAATCTACTACTATTGAATAAATTTCATTGCGGGAAGTCAAAACACGGTCTAACCTCGTATGCCATAAACTAGCGCAGGGAATGAATGAATATTTTTGTTATTCAGACTACTGTTTTCGTTGCACTGCATTAATAATTTGATTAGTTACTATCACTAAATAATACACATAATGTTGACATTAATTATGCTCCGAGCTGCGTACGTGATCAATTGCATTGGGGAAAATTTCAAAGTAATCAGATGTAAAAATGGCTAAATATAGAGCATACGGAATGTCAGAATATATTGTAACGAATAGTAAACAGATAGTAAAATGATTTGGATAAACCTTATTTTGTATTCGTTAACGAATATTCGAATAGTAGTTTCAACACTAACTAGTAGCAGTCCTAGTATAATCAGCGGTTGCCAGGCAAGATACGCCCACATTTTGCTCCTGTTTGCTCACTACACTTTATTATTTTAGCATTTTCCGAGATTCTATCCAGATTATCACCCTTATTGTTAAAATTGTTTGACGTTTAAACTCATGACGTCAACTGGCAGAGTATCGCTATTGGAGAGATGACCACTGTCAAGATTGGTTGCATTATGCTGTTACGTCTTTTTTTTTTAAGCCTGTATTATTACAGGCCAGGACTGTACAGTGCAGTAGACGCTTATGGCTGGCCCCCGAATCCATTCACTTGTTTATTTTTTGCAATGTCTATAAACTGTCTTGTCCAAAGGTTTATCTTGTAGATTTTGTTTTGCGTGTAGTGCGGTCCTCCTGCACTTGCTATTAGAGTGTCTACAGGCTAAAAACATGATTTTGCGTACAATCAGAGTCCAAAATCCATGAAGTTATGGTCCAATAACATCATACATCCACATAAAAATGTGGGCGTTAAAAATAGTTACCTGTATTTCCTGCAGCGTCTACTTGTCGTTTACTGTCATCTAGATCTTCATCTGTTAGCGGACCTTCATCATAATCGTAACTATCATCTGATCCTGTATCACCTAGTTTACGTTCTGTTGTCTGTTGATTGGTTATACTGCCTTCTTGATTGGTATCATTCAACCTTCAAACAAAAACACCACAAAATCACTTCTGATCTGTTATAAATAGCTACTTTCTGTAAAATGTCTAAAATCCAAAGAACATTACCGGTATCCAAGATTGTGGAGGGCAAAGGGTAACAATTGTAAATTATGTTGCATCCATGTTCATCTAGACAAAATCCATTTAGCCTTCCAGCAACACGCTCTAGGGGTAATCCCCAACTGTATCTTGGTTTCGATGTTTCACATTAAAAATTTAATGCTTATTTTTTGCAACATTTGATTCAACTTCAATTACGTTTAGATGTAATAGTATGAAAATTCACCTGGCATCAACCATGGTATTGTCAGAAACAGAACTTTGAGTCAAAGTTTGACAAGAGATTTTCTGCAATATTGAAGTCACTGAAGGCAAATGATGAAATAAGGCCATTGTCAATGAGGCATATTAATTAATCTGCATCGCAAGGCAAAACATTTTGGTGTAAGCATTGCCTATGCTATTTATCTGGAGCGAAACTGATAAATGTAATTCCTTTCTGTTGATGTTGTTCGACGTTTACTCCAAAGGATGGTAACTTGTTAGGATGAATCTTGATTTTTTTCTAATTCCTCCAAAGGATTAATTATGTTATATTTTTATTAAATGTGATACTTACCTATTGGTTATATCTATAGCGTTAAGCATAGATTGCTGCTGTAATAAGTGTGTCTGTAACATTTGTTGCTGTAGAAAATGAAAGTAGGGCTGGGGAATGACTAGAGGTGCTGTTATTTCTACATTACCGTTGTTCTGATTTAATGCTGCCACTGCTGAGGCATCTTCGCTTGTTAATTTATCATTATTATCTGATTCAGTCTTTTTTTCTTCCTGGACTGACCAAGGCTCATTCTCATCATTTATACTAGAAGTAGTCTCTTTTGTCACGTCTTCTTGTTCTCCCTTTTCTTCATGTTGACTCTTTGATACCTCTGTCTTCTCCGAGTCAGAGTTACTGTCCTTGTTTTCATTTGTCTGGTGACAAGTTTCTTGTTTTATCTGCATGATAATATTATACGTAGATGGCAGCACAGAGATGTTACACGAACATTGTGCATCTTAAGGTTATAAAATGGTTTCTGATTGGCTGTCTTCCATCAAACCTGAAATAGAATATCAAAATATATAGAACTAGAACCTGATCCGGTTTTTTTTTTAAAATTTATGCTGGCTTTTTTTGTATCTACAGCCATATAAAAAAAAATACTGCTCGTTCATATTTTCGTGGATGATCATTATCCTGCAAACTACTACATCTAGTATGGTGTAAAAAATGACTCAAATTATACTCCAAGGAAATGGGAGGTCGAAGGAGTAAAATTTACATTAGAACTACAAAATCTGTAATTTCATCTGTAGACAGAGACGACAATTAGATACCGTTTGTAAATGTACTTGAATTCAGTTAAGCGTACAGTAAAAGCTAGATATTTGACACAAGCAATTAGTCACACCTTCCTAAAACTAAAACTAAAAGCTCCCATATCAGGGTTTTTTTTTCAAGGATTGTCTAATAAGAACCAAAACAATTTTTTTGTATGGCCTAATTCATATTTTTAAACTCAAAGAACCTATTAGTAGTAACACACTCAACTATTTATTCCTTTCAAATCCCCATTTATTCTGAATTATTCCTTTTGGTTGGGTTTTTTTTTCAGTCTAAATCCTAATTCAATAATATCTCACAATGATTTGAAGTTTAAAAATTGCCTTTTCGAAATATATTTTTCTTTTGTGGTGAAAGCAATTTAACAATTTAAATTTTCACATATTGAAAATGAATGATTCATTTTACCTTTGCTCAACTATTAACATTTAAATAAATCTCTATTTCCATCTTGTAACATCTGAAGAGACATATATCGGTACTTAGACCAAGGTTCGACATATAATAAATAGTCACTACAGATGTGTTGTTATTAAGCTGTCAACAAGAGCAAGAGCTAGGCAATTAAGTAATTCAACCATAAATGAACAACCAGTCAAGCAAAACATACAAACCCACATGTATAAGGAAACATTTTTCATAACAGAGCATCTCATGAACCGTTCAAAATATCTTATGAAACTTTGTACACACATGAACCTATTTATTACAGTAATGGTGCCATAGACATTTCACAGGTTTAATTATTTTTGACTCAGTTATTGGCATATCAGCTAATTGCAGGTTTCGTGGAGCAATTATTTAATTAATAGCTTCTGTGTTTTTTTCAACTTCAATAATACTAGCACGGAAATAGACCTCCTGTTAATTACATTATCAGTTGCTGTGGTTGCATGTCTTGCTGAGTTTTATCTCTTTCTGTTATCTTACTGATATTTTTAACGTAGATAACAAAAATCATTACTTCCATGCCTGAGAATATAAGACCTTAAATAAAATGCTCTACTGGGACATTTTGTACAACAAATCATTATTCTTGAATTAATCATTAAATGTCATTGCTGCACTTTTTTTTTATTCATCCCTAAGACTTACAAGTTTTGGCAATAAACATAAAAACAAGACTATTTAAGCTAACAATTGCACGTACTAATTAATTTTCAGCTGTGTGAACAACAAGCGATTGCCATGCAAAATCTGACTACATTTTACAAGAGATGGACAGAGAATAAGCTAAAAGAAAAAAAAAAGGAAAGATTTTTTGTACAATCTGGGGCCAATAAATCCAGGAAGCTATGATTCGATATGTGCAAGTATCAAAAGGAACCCAGATCTTTGGAATGCAAACATATACAGTAAGTTTCATAAAGATCGGATGCAAATTGTGACCTCTAGAGGGTCCCCAACCTTGGTATTACATACTTTTATAATATTTGCATATACATGTAATCAGGGGCCATAATAAAGCAGGGTTCCCGCGGCTTCGTCAAACATTTTTTCAAGGATAAATATACGTCAAATTCAAGGATTTTCAAGGACATTTTTAACCTAAAGTTACATTTTTTCATCTTAAAAATAACCAAAACATTACCAACTATCGTTATAATCTCATATTTAAAAGGAATTGAAGACATTTGAAACAAAATTAAGGATCTCAACTGAAATTCAAGGATATTTTCCTATTTCCGCGAAATTCAAGGATATTCAAGACCTTGAAAATGAAATTTTAAATTTAAGGATATTCAAGGATTTTCAAGGACCGCGGGAACCCTGTAAAGGAAGTTATGAAGTTACATTCTGAGATGTACGAGTATCAACAGGAACCGAGATCTTTGGGTAATAAACATACATTTTAAGTTTCATCAAAATCAGATAAAAATTGTGACCTCTAGCGTGTTCACAACCTTGCTATTACATACTTTTACACTATTTGCAGACATGGAGCGTCCATTTTCTCAGGCAGTTTCGGTCCGATTTTCACGAAATCCCAACTCAACCATCACTATTGTGTAACATTGATATATAAACGGTTTTTAAAATCAGATAAAAATTGTGACCTCTAGAGGGTCCGCAAGCTAAAAACATGATTTTTTGTACACTCGATAGATTTTAAGTTTCATCAAAATCGGGTAAAAATTGTGACCTGTAGAGTGTCCACAAACATGTCTACATGAAAACGTGGGGGGATAAAACCATTCAATTTGTTTTGTGTTAATTTTGACCGAGTACATTGTTTGTTTAAATATTCAAGTGCGTTGAATATTTGGATTTATTTAAGGTTTAAATATATTACATACAATATCATTCAAACAAAACCATACATTTGATAGCACATGCACTATTAATATTCTACTAAATCAACACTCCAAAGAAAACATTGCATAACTTAAGTAGGGTCATCAAGAAACCCACACCAGGGCCTTTTAATAAGCATTCAATACAGTCACTACATCTACATGTATGACGTAGTGCACAAAGTTTTATAAGAGTATCTTTATCACTGCTTTTTTTTTTTACACGTAGTTAGTTCTAGACAGATATAAATTTGTGGCAGACAGACGAACCTATCACCAAAACTTAAATAAGCACCACTTAACCTTTATTTCAAGACTTGTCAGTACTCTGCACAGTATGGTTACTACAAAACCCAGTTTTATCAGGTATTGCAATTAAAGAATGACATGATTTTTTGTTGTTGTTAAAAAGATATCCTGTATTCATAGGCCTACTAACATTACATGCAGTAATAAATGAGAACCTCTATTTCAAATTTTTTTTTAGTAATCATATTGTTAACTTGAATACGGCACTACACAAGTTTATAAACCTATATTAATTTTGTCCCTATTCTTATCAGTTACCACACTACATTTCTATATGCAATATAAACACCCTTCATTGAACATACATGTAATCTAATGCGTCAAAACCATTTATTTTAAGGAAATTGAATAAGCTTACCAGTACATGTACATTATGCAATCAATAACGGCTTCACATTATAATAACACGCTAGAATAAACCTATTAATATTATCCACCTCGCTATTCGTCATGCTACAATGGCTAACTAAGGTAAGGTTGGACAATTCACTAAGGTAATACAACACTTCAGAAAAAAATATACAGAAAACGCACAATGGTATTATACACATATGCATTCATTGGCATTAATGGAATGGATTTTAACAACTAAGTAGAGGATTCTCATAAACTCCGGAAGAACAGATTATGTGTCATTAGAAAAAGTGTTAATATATCTATATATAAAATAGAATTTGATTTTGTGTTAATATATCTATAAAAAAAAACCCCAGAAGTTGATTTTGTGTTAATATATCTATAAAAATACAGAAGTTGATTTTGTGTTTAAAATATATCTATACAATAAAACAGGAGTTGCTGGAATCTTCCACTTAGATGTTTTAATTCTTTTCCAGATTCCCCTGCACCTGTAAATCTGTATAGATTCTCTGGAAAAAATATTTGATCAGATACATTATGCCTGGGAATAAACCACAGTATCTAGAAAGATACTTATTTCCAGTAGAAAAGCACACAAAATATTTTCATTACAAACTTCAACAATTCTCAAGATGACCAACTTACATGCAAATTTTAATGGTCATGCATGCAATGTTACAAAGAATTCTGCCAGAACAGGGATGTTTCAACTTACTCTTATTCAATTTCCATCACAGGTGTACAAAGGACAAGAGAGAGAGAGAGAGAGAGAGAGAGAGAGAGAGAGATGGATTTAAGTCCTAACCATTCAGTCATCCAACCCCCCACCCCTCAAAAAGGGGCTTCAAAAATTAAGAAGCTTCTTCTCCACACATGCTGAGATTCAAAGCCATGATTTTTTTTAATAAATACAAAAACAGCTTTATGTAACTGAATTTACCACACCAACTGAAAAGAATGCACATACTATCAATGACATTTTCTTTTTACCAATATACTGGATTTTGTCACGTATACCCTACCTTATGGTTGCATTTGACGAAGAAATATAACGAGATAATACAAGTGAATACAAACAAACTTCTGTCCTCGCTTGACTACACCCATACATTCTGGCGTATATCACTTTTTTTTACACAGTCACACATCACAAACTATATCAGCTTTATACTCCCATGTATATGTGTATTATGCAAACAAAGTCAATGTAGACAGCTCTGGTCTCTTGCAATTAAACTTATATTATCAGAAAAGGGACATTATAGATTTCTAAATATTCAAATCTCAAAACCGAATCTCTAAATATGATTGATTTTAATTGAGAAAATTAACTGATAGATTATCAGCTGGACCCATTTTAATGACAACAGAAAACTGGTATCAAAGATCCAATAGGAGCCCTAAATGTGACTAGCTCTACACTTGTTTATTCATGCCTAAAATTACATGTACATCCCTTCAAAGTTCCAACATATTTTATATACAATGCAATGTAATCAAAAGATTTTATATTTTTTGTCTCCCACAATGATTCGGCCTGCAAATAACTGGATATTTGCAAGTCCAATAGAGCTGGTCTCATTAACCAATTATGGTATAATATACCCGCCGCCATGCTAAGAATACTGTTTAGAGAAACCGCTATTCATGCAACAAAAACACTTTTTTCGAATGATGAAAGTTTTGACAATTTAATTCATGATAAATGATATTACTGAGTTTTAAAGACCAAATGTTTAATCCTACCAACTGC